AGGATTCTTTGTTCTATGCTATCTCCATTTATTTACTTCCCTCTTATTAGTTTTATGCTCCTTGTCTCTCTAGGAGAACTATTTATTGCTAATTAAATGTGTCTCTTGTCATGGGCAAATTCTGGCTCTGGGAAAGTAAGGCCAGATGTAATATTTCTACTAATTGAGTGATTCAAATGTAAAACAACCCCTCTTAAAAGTATTAAAAACACTGGAATGGGGTCAAATTATATTTCTGTCATATTATTTTAGTGTTAAAATTTCATTTTAGGCCTGGTGCTTAAAATTCGAGAGATATATGGAAAAAAGGTATAGTAAGAAAATTGGTTTAATGAATGTTCAATATACATGTTTGTCAGGACTATATCTTGAATACTTTGTCAATTGTCAGAACAATTCTGGAGGTGTTTTTTTTTTCTTCAGGAATTTCAACTATATTTTCAAGTTCTTTCTTCTCTTTGGAATTAATTTTTCTCCTTAAAATGCCCTCTCAAGTTAGGTCTTACAGTTCTTCTTTCTTGATTCCTGTTTCCAGTGATGGCTTCTTTTTTGCTGTGAAGGAAGTTTCTTTACTTGACCCTGGAAGCATTCTTCAACTTGAGCAGGTCAGAAAATTTTGTAATGCCATGGGTAGAAATTTTACTTTGTTGACCATGTATAAACTTTTCTAGAACAGTATTTCCTTAGCAAAGTTATTTTGATTGGCAATAAAGGCTTCCTTTCATCTTCTTGCACCTTGTTGATTAATCACAGGAGATTTCAGTTTTGAGTCAGATTCAACATCAAAACATTGTTCGGTATCATGGCACAAACAAGGTATACAATTACCCTTCTAGCTTGCATACTTCATTTCTTGACTATAACATTTGTTGTACCATTGATGAAGTTATTGCATAATAAGTTGTGTGCAGTTTGTCTCAATGCATAAGTTATAATATTCTCTCTTTACCAAATTGAATTTTTTATGAATATAGTATTATATGAAATGTCATAGGGACACAGTTTTACACTTCTAATGGTTTGCTGAAATTGATTTTGCAGGATGATAGCAAACTCTATATCTTCCTTGAGCTTGTAGCCCAAGGTTCACTTGCAAAACTCTACCATAAGTACCACTTACGTGATACCCAGGTTTCTGTGTACACTAGACAGATTTTGAGTGGACTACATTATCTTCACTCCCGAAATGTGGTTCATAGGTATACAAGTGATTATGCATATTGTCAAGTTAAAGTATTCATCTAAATTTGTAGCGATGAGTGGCCTTAAACAAAAAACATTTATAGCTAGGCTTATGCATTTGCATATCCGGCTCCATAATGGGAGTTACAAGATTACAGAGTTGGGGTTGGGTGGGGTGATTTGAACCTATGGCCTCTGAATGACTTGCGTCCGCTAGGCTATCCTGTTGTGACTCAAGTCTCAAGGTGATATTATGCATTTGTTTGTTGCAAACTATGAGAGAAGTCTAAAATTTTTCAAATATATATTTGCTGATTCCCATCTTTCTAAGATTAATTTTTACTTCTATTTATTAAAGGGATATCAAGTGTGCCAATATACTGGTGGATGTAACTGGTTCTGTGAAACTTGCAGATTTTGGGTTGGCAAAGGTTGGTATTTCTGCAGGGTTTCCAGTTCACTAGTTTGTTTCACATGCCTTATAGTTTAATACAATGTCTCTTCTTAGGCAACAAAGCTGAATGATATCAAATCTTGCAAAGGGACGGCATTCTGGATGGCGCCAGAGGTTTGTCTCCATCCTTTAAGAATCTGATTTCTAGAACTAGAAGTTTGGCAACGAATGCGCTTTTCTGTCTTTGTAGCCACATGTAAGAATTGTTTGATATGAAAAAGAATGATACCTTTCTAGTTCTTCTTCTTCTTGTTCTTCTTATTTATTTATTTCTTCCTTAGAAATTAGAACAACAGCTCGTATTCCTGACTCAGGAGATTTATAAAATGGGGAACTGGATATTTGACAATTTAGTATTCCTTGAGGAAGAAAAGTTTGAAGTTTGACATGATATCAGAGTATATAGATCATATACGAGTCATTCTGTATGGTTCGATATCAGAGTTGACAACAAGATGCTAAGATTTGCAGCAACTGAATTATTCTTCTATACATGGTTTACTTTAGCATGTCTTGGACATTAAGTATTTATTTCTATTTTCAGGTTGTTAACAGGAAGAACAACGGGTATGGGCTTGCTGCTGATATATGGAGCCTTGGTTGCACTGTCTTGGAGATGTTAACTCGCCAAATTCCTTACTCTCACTTAGATGGGGTATGCTTGTTCTTTCCATTTATTTTAAGCTTAGGTGTGATTAAAACTTAAAAGAAAATGTTGTTCGGTAAGTTGCTGCCCTTGATCTTGCCTCTGTCATGATAACGGAACGTAGAAACTAGAAAACCATGAATTAAAGGGCTAGTAAAAGTATTGAATCACATGAATTACTTAGAACCCAAACCTTTGTACTTTTGCACTCTACCTATAGCAACACATTTGTATGCACATTTAGTAGTAAACATTAGACAATACATTTTGTCGTGAACTTAACAAATGTGTAGGGCGGCTTTCATGCACACTGCATTTGATCTTGCATTAGTGCTGTTCTATAATAGCAACCATGTTTTGTTGCCTTGCAGATGCAAGCGATATTCAGGATTGGTAGGGGCGAGCTTCCTCGTATACCCAAATCCTTGTCAAAATATGCTCAGGACTTCATCTGTAAATGCTTACAAGTTAACCCCAGTAATCGACCTACTGCTGCTGAACTATTGGATCATCCATTTGTGAAGAAACTGCCATTTTCAGCCTCTTGTCCTTTGCCTACAAGGTTTTGAAATATTTATGCAACATTATTTGTCAATTCTATTGAGGTAATACTTGGCCAACAAATTATTTTGTTTTCTTTGTGTGTGTTTTTCTGGATGACGAAGGAAACCCGCTGCCATTACCTGAAGGTATGCATGGGGTAAACTTCTGTGCGAGTGTGTTTTTAGTTATGTGTTTTTGCACCTAAGGAAACACACTAACATACTAAGGGTGTGTTTGGTTTGTGGGTTTTGCACATAGGAATGGGTATGAAAGTGATTGTTGTTGTTTGGTTGATAGGTTTTTAGAACACTACTATGGGTTTCGAATACCCCATCAATTGAAAAACCCATACCCAAATAAAATAAGAGTTTCATTCCCTTATTCATTCTCAAGCACTACTATAAGTAACTATTCCCATTCCACCCTACTACCAAACATGTTAAATACTTTCACCAAAACTCATTACCATTACCAAGTATTTGATACCCATTCCGATTCCGATTCCTATGTGCGAACCAAACACACCCTAAGTTACTAACACATACATATTAATTGACTTTGGATCTAGCAATCCTGTCTATCATAAGAATGGTTTGATCTCTTTAAGGGGTCGTTTGATTCACGGAATGTCAGATTACCTTAGGGAATGTTAGATTGCTGGGAATCTTAGATTCCTGTGTTTGGTTAAAATTGGGGTATGTTATATAATCATGTTTGGTTTAGGGTTATCTTTTATACACACTATAATATCTCTAACATAACCAAGTTTATCTTACATAACTTAAAAAATTGAAGGGAATCACATTCCCTTCAAAATCTTATGTGGAGGGAATGTGACATTCCTTGGGAATGTTAGATTCCCTCAGATAATATGAACCAAACATAGGAATATGAGCTTTGGAATGTCACATTCCCTTGGTTATGTTATATAACCTGAACCAAACGTCCCCTAAGAGTAGTCTTAAAAATCTAAAGACCATTATGAATATGATGGTGAAAGTTTGCCAACCAATTGTTTCCAAAAGGTTGAATCCCTAATCCCAAAGGCCATCCATGTCCCGACTCAACAGAGCATTTGGGAAGATGAGACTAGACCTTTGCTGACTGCGGTCTGCGCACAATGAGCCCTCCTCACTTTGAGAGGTTGTTTCCACACTGCTGCTGATGAGACTTGATTTTGAATCATTGTTTTTAAACTTCACTCCTATGACCAGCTGAGCTGATCATGGGGCTCTACCCAATATACATGTTGCCTGTGTGGGTAGGCGTCTAGGCGAGAGAGAACAACCATCCATTTATGATGAGAAATAAATATTTGCAAGGACCAACTTATTATCAAATTTTAATTTTCTTGCAAACTCGCAAATGCTGTCATCCAACTAGAATAACCAGATTGCGTGGACGGAAAAAATTAATCTACAAACTTACATCAACTGTCTCATAAGGGGTGACTCAATGGACTTTCATACCAGAAGAAAAACCTTAAATACAGTTTTATTCAATTAGTAGAAAGACCTTAAAAATACAGTCCATAAGCACCTAAAATTGATACACTAGATTTTTTAGTTGCCAGACTAATCCTAAGATTCAAGAACCCTTGCTCAAAAGTCGTTGGAGGAGATAAATTGTGAGTCTCTCTGTTAGTCCTAGGAGACCACTTCTTACCTGCACACCCTTTTAAAGTAATCTCAACAATGAGAGATTTTTACGGTGACAAGCAGGAAAGAAAGCGAGAAGAGAGAGGAAAAAAATAAAAAATATTTATGACAAATTTGTTTTTTTTTAATGTTCATTTACTAGCCGGGTAGCCGTGGGTCATACAAAAATGTGATATTTATAAGAAAAAAAAAAAAAAAAACCTACCTAAAACCTCACCCCATCAATGTAAAAATCATATAATTTTTTTTTTCCGAAAAACCTCTCCCAAAAACCCAAAGATGAAAGATCCCGTGCAGGATGAAATTCGGGGCGGATCATTAACCCGATTAGTCGGGGCCCGCACCCGTTTTCAATGCTAAGTCCTGGGTCCTGCAGTGATATGTCCATTGTCCAGACAAGTGAAGTTATACACCGAAAATTCCCTCTTCCCTCCAAATTCCCATTATCCCACTTCCCAAAGAGCAAAAAACGTTAGCCCAGACAAGAGCAAAGCTTGAAGACATTATTCTAGAGGAGAGGAGCTATCTATCGACTTCGCCAACCGCCGTCGATTTTCGTAGCGGGAGGATTGATTAATTGATTGATTGATGGGGAAAGACGATGACGAAATGAGGAGCGAGATAGAGGAGAGGCTAGTAAACGAGGAGTACAAGATTTGGAAGAAGAACACTCCGTTTCTCTACGATCTGGTCATAACTCACGCTCTCGAGTGGCCTTCGCTCACCGTCGAATGGCTCCCTGACCGGGAAGAGCCGCCGGGGAAGGATTATTCCGTCCAGAAAATGATCCTCGGGACCCACACGTCCGAGAATGAGCCCAATTATCTCATGCTCGCCCAGATTCAGCTCCCGCTCGAGGATGCTGAGAACGATGCTCGTCACTATGACGACGATCGCTCCGATACCGGTGGCGGCTTTGGTTGTGCCAATGGGAAGGTACGGACTCGGCTCTTGTTGAGGTTTTGCCATTGTTATGTGGGTTTGCTTTCGGAGGGTTACTTTCACAATGATGTGAGGCTTTCTCGGCCTTTTAGTTGGATACGGTGGTTCTATGCTTTGGTTAGGGTTAACACTTGTAAATTTACCAGACTTTTCGGTTACATTGTTAATTTCTTATGTTGGTACTTGGTAGAAGTGAAATCAGCTATAAAGTCATAGGCTTTTAGCAGTTAAACCCACTGGGTAAAGTTCATGATTGAGGAGGTTGAAGTTTTTCTTATTCTTTGGTACATCAATTATTTTGTTAGAAGGGTAGCTGTTCAAGTTTTTCCCATTTGTGGAGGAAAGGAAAAATATTAGTACTTCTGAAATTGAATGTTTGTTTGGTCAGCTCAGTGGAAATTATGAACTCATTTTTTATGAGCTCAAAAAACTGTGTTTGAAGTCTGAGCAATTGTTATATGTGCTTCTTATTACAATTAAGCTATGGAGTAGAACTGGGGAACTCACTTATTTAGTCCATCTATAGATCTTCATTTGTTTATGAAATGCTAATTGCATAATGAATATGGATATGAATTTATTTATGTAGGAGGGTGATAGTTTTTACAGGAAAGTGTAACTATATCACCTAGAGACTGGGAAACCTGGACACCAAGGGTGATAATTTTTCTTTATGTAGGAGGGTGATAGTTTTTACAGGAAAGTGTAACTATATCACCTAGAGACTGGGAAACCTGGACACCAAGGGTGATAATTTTTCTTTATTATAACTCTCTACGCATATAGGTGCAAGTGTTATTGCTGGTCATAAAATCTTAGGGGGACGCTGGTGGTATAATTATTAAAAAGTTTTATAAAAGAAATGGTTTCCTTCAAGTTCAGGTGTAATTAGTACTCTTAATTCATTTCAAGCGTTGTTTTCCTTTTAATGATCAATCAACCTTCTGCATATTATACTAAATGCTTCTTTTGCAGGTAAAAATAATTCAACAAATAAATCATGATGGAGAAGTTAATCGAGCTCGTTATATGCCCCAAAACCAATTTATTATTGCCACGAAGACAGTCAGTGCTGAAGTTTATGTTTTTGATTATAGCAAACATCCATCTAAACCTCCTTTTGATGGCGCATGCAACCCTGATTTGAGGCTAAAGGGCCACAGCACTGAAGGATACGGTCTGTCTTGGAGTCAGTTTAAACAAGGTCATTTGTTAAGTGGATCAGATGATGCTCAGATTTGCTTGTGGGATATTAGCGCCACTCCAAAGAATAAGGCCCTTGATGCCATGCAGATATTTAAGGTATGTTATGGCATTAAGTATATGAAGATTAGTTGCCACTAAATACATTGTGCTTATGAGTTTGATGTGGTTCCTTTATACATGAATTGAAATATGGAGTATAATATTACATATAAAGAAAGCAATTTTTTTCTTTATTTCTGACTTGACTCCAAATTTTAGAAAGAAGGGAAAAGAAAATAATGATGTGATTATACATTACAAAATATTTTTCTGTGATCCTTCATAGTTATGGGAGTGCTAAATGTTGATGATGGTTTACTTCTCCAATATTGCTGTTTAAGACTGCTACTAATGCAATTGAAACTCATTCCTCTAAGTATTCTCCCTTACCTTCTGATCAGTGCCTTTTCTTTGATGATGCAATAGATTCATGAAGGAGTTGTAGAAGATGTAGCTTGGCATCTTAGACACGAATATCTATTTGGTTCAGTTGGAGATGATCAGTATCTACACATCTGGGATTTGAGAACACCTTCAGTAACCAAGCCTATTCATTCTGTAGTTGCTCATAACGGTGAGGTGGGTATTAGACTTCCCAAATGGGTTCTACATATATATGTAGGGAATAATTTTTCAATATAATATAATAATATATCCATTGAGTCCAACTGTCAGAAGTCAACACTATATTTGAACTATTTGATGGAATTTGTTAGTTTGTGTAGTGGCATGTTTCTTCTTCATTTTCTTTTGATCTTTTTATATATAAATGTATCTTAGTAACATACTTTTATTTTTTATTTTTAAAAAAAGGTTATTTTTTCAATTCTGTATGTTCTATTTGAACTAGCCAATTGATCCCTATTTATCTAACCAGGGAGTAGAGTAGCTTAACTATTCTGTGGATTAGATGCTTGTTCCAGTCTGTGTTATGTATTACTAAAAACTTTTGTTTATCCCTGCATGCAATTTCCTATTCAACCATGTCTTGTAGCAAAGCAAAACATCTTTCATTATAATGGAATGTGTGAACTAGATTAAGCTTGCAGACAGGCATACGAAAAATTGCAATTATAATTACATCACTTACATGTTAATTTTTTTTTTATGATATGTATCTGTATATCTGAATGTCTATTGTTTTGTTTATTTGTCCTAGGTTAACTGCTTAGCATTCAACCCTTTTAATGAATGGGTTGTAGCAACAGGATCTACTGATAAGACAGTGAAATTGTTTGACCTACGCAAGATCACTTCTCCTCTCCATACTCTTGAATGTCATAAGTAAGAGGCATTTCTTTCATTTTATATTTTGTTGAAACTTTGTTGCCCTTATCCATCATGCTGGTGTATATTTCCCCCTTCCAACTGTAATGGTTCCATTGAATGTTTTCTTGGTCAATTTTTTTATGTATACATGAAATTAATGTATTAATGACTTTCTGAAAATCGTGACAGGGAGGAGGTTTTTCAGGTTGGGTGGAATCCTAAGAATGAGACTGTCTTAGCTTCTTGTTGTCTTGGTCGCAGAGTCATGGTCTGGGACCTTAGCAGGTATCGTCTACAATATCAGATGGTGCATTATCATTTCCATTAATTAAGAATTGAGTGTGTTATCTGGTCATTATTCTGTAGAATTGACTTCCATTTCTTGTACTGTTATTGTCCTTGTCATGTTATTCTTGAACTAACAGGAACTAGCGAACTAATTTACTCTAAGACAATTCACTTAAAAGTCTTAACTAATTGCACAAATCATTGCTGCCTAAATCTCTGTCACAAGGAAGTTTAACTTTGATCTAGGGTCTAGCTGGTGCCTTTGTCTTTTGAACTATAATATTAATGGTTTGCTTTGTGTTATATGCAAATTGCCTAGATAAATAACTAGCTTGGTTGGCGTGAGTGGCCGTGCACTCTTATCCCTTAAGAGAGGTTGGGAGTTTGAACCCCTCTCGTATGGAAAAACCAATCTGGCCAGCACTTTGTCCCTTAATTGGGTCGGACCGGTGCGAACAGGGATTAGTCTGGGTATGATACGGGCTTAAAGGTGCCTTCTACAGTTAGGGCTTACTCAGGACACCTCGTGGTTTGACCAAAAAAAAAATTGCCTAGATAAATGAAAGCATGACTACAGGTTATAGGTCAAAACTAGTCTGAAAATTCCAAAAAAAAGGAGAGAAAATCAGTCTGATCTGTGTAAATATTCTTCATTTCTGGCACAATATGTTCTGTACTCCCATTGCATTAGGATCTAGGCATGTGCTCCTTTTGTAAGTGGTAAGCTCGATCCTCGGATCCTCCACCACCCTTCCATTTAGTTTGTCCCTAAAATTGCTACTGATTAAACTATCCAAGAAACATTAGTCAAAACCAACACTACAATTCACATATGCTTTCCCTCTCCAGGATTGATGAGCAACAAACCAAAGAGGAAGCAGAAGATGGGCCACCGGAGTTGCTGTTTGTGCATGGTGGCCATACCAGTAAAATTTCCGACTTCTCATGGAACCCATGTGAGGATTGGGTCGTTGCTAGTGTAGCCGAAGATAACATTCTACAAATCTGGCAAATGGCAGAGAACATCTACCATGAAGACGACGATCTACCCATAGATGGCGCTACCTAGATCCAGGCGTCTAACGCCCATGGAGCTCCAAGGGTTTCTGTTTTACCGACATTTGACTGTCACTAGAGTCTATTAATCTGTTTGCATTTCGGGGTCGGATTCTATTATGTATAATTATCATGTGGAATGGTAAAGCAGCGCAAGTTGCAGATTATTGTGTGTTCTGGGAAAACATAAACTAAGCTGTGGTAGTTAACATATAACATTGCAATGGAAATGCTAACTGTTCATATGTTGCTAAGGCCAACCGCACCTACTGACTGCCATCTTTTGTGTTTTATTATATCAACAGGAAGCTTAGCGTCCGTTAGGAAAATGACTCATTTTTTATAATTTTTTTTTTCCAGTGTTTGGTTGCATCTTAAAAAACTGTTTTGGTGTTTTTGGTTCATTTTTCAGAAAATTATTGTTTGGTACTTTTATATAATATGTATTTAAACAAGCAAGAGTTCTACTGCATGGATTCCTAATCTCTATTTCTACACTTTTACCATTTGACGTGGTTGATAAGTTATGTTTATTCTGTAGGTTTAAAAAAAGATGTCTTATATCAAAATTGTGTGATAAAGTAAAAATTGAAATAGATTTTGAAAGTCTAAGTAGGATTTTTCAACAAGCAAAATCAAAATAGAATTATGACCATTTATTATATAAATATAGAAACGTATTACATTAATTAAGATAAGAAAACATTGCGTATTAAGCACTAAACAAAGAAAAATGTCAAGAAAATTGGGTGTCCGAGGGGAGAAGAAAATAGACAGATTTCAGAAGTCTAAAGCATTGAATTGAATGCAACTAAAGGAGAGGAACATTTTTAATAGGAAAATACTATGTGTACTTTCATTTTATACTCTCAATTTTTACTATTTAATATAAAATTTTGATGTAGACATTTGTATTGGGACTCACATGAAGAAAAAAAAAAAAAAAAACTTATCAAAGCTCGCCACCTCAAAATGTAAAATTTAAGGAGTAAAATTTGGGAGCACATCTAGTAGAACTCTTTTTAATATTAAGCGTGCATTGTACTACGGCTTATTTGAGTAGTACCTTGGAAGTTTAAGCTGATGGGTGATGACGCATCAAACCTAACATTCACGCATCCCCATGTTGATAAAATCGCCCCACGTCTCAAATCTTCTCCTTCCTTTCTCACGCGCTTCCATTGCACTCTCCAAACCATTTCTTAATTACAATTTCATTATACCAAACACTCATTATAGGCGCGTGGTACCACCAGCCCAGCCGGCTTGCCTATAAGCCAATGAAAAAAAAAAACTGTATATGAAACTTTTGGTTCATTTTATCATTTACTCCGTATCATTTTTTTTTTTTTTGAGCAAACTCCGTATCATTTATTGCAGCCTTTTTGCGCCTTTTTCTTTTTCTGTATATTTATTTATTAAAATAAAATATTCTCACGGGAAAATTCAGGAAGTCCCCGCGCGCTCTTTTCCTTCGACATTTTCGTCACTATTTTGATCTCCACCAATAACGACAAACCCTAAGCTTCTCTCTTCCTCTCTCTACATATTCTTCCTTCTCCTCATCAAGCAATTCTCAGGTACGAAGCTTCCCGGTTGCTGAATTGTACTTTATACTGAAGTAATTCTCTTGTTTCCTTGAGTTTTTTTTTTTTTTTTTTTTTTTTTCCTGTTATTATTGTTTTTTTTTGTATTAGTTCTGGATGGTGTTCGATTGAAATTTTGAGATGGATTAAAATAATGTAAGTGAATCTGGATTGGAGATTTGGAGTGAGAGCTAGAGGCATAGGAGTCATGTGCTTGATTTTTTTTTTTTTTTTTGAAATTTCCGCTTTTCATGGCGTCGTGGTGCTACTTTAAAATATTCATTTTATTAACTTATCGTGACGTGATTATTCTCCTATTGCACGTTGTTGCTTAGTGGGTTAGATGCACTATCTGAATCTTCTTTGGAAATTTCTGTGTTATGTCTGCTCTTTATCTAATATGATGAGGTGGATATATGTATTATACGTGTTATTATATATATAAGTATATAGAAGGTTGATTTTTGTGGATGTATAGTGAAGCTTGATGGTTTTTGGTTTTGCTTGCTGATCCGGATTTGCTTGTAAGTTGAAAGTCAAGGTGGGTGTGGTTGGTTGATGATAACTGCCTTTTTTGTCTACCTGTGTTGATTGATATTTAGTTTTGAAGATTGTACATTGAATTAAGTCGTTTGAAATGCATTGTCTAAAAGACAAATAGCTCCTCTTTAAGCCTATAACTCAGTGGATAGTGTAAGTTACTTGTAAATGCTTTTTGTCTCTGTGATTGTCACTAATTTGATCATTTTGATGATGTCCTGTTGGTTTGCTGTGATTCCATATGGTCCAGAGTTTGGTGCTTGGTTTTGTTCAATATTGATCTGTTTACTGGAAACTTGAGCTTAGGTTTTAATAAAAGGTGTTGTTGATTTTGCACTTTGCTTCTGGATGGATGCAAAATCTGCAGCAGGATTTGTGAGCAATTTATAGTTTGGAGTCTTAAGATGGCATGAGCTTTATTTTTGACACTTTTATTGGCTTATTATTAGGAATTTCAAACATAGTGCTCTGGTGGTTTTGCAAAACTTCTTTTTACTCAAATTATGGTAATTTTATTTCTGGGTAGAGAATTGCTTGGATTCTGCTTCCCATATGATGGGTTGACTTTTCGAGAGAGAGATCACTGAATTGGACCATCAGCTCATTGCAAGAACCATCAGAATCATGATGTCCATAAGATGGTTGTGATTTAGAAATCGACCTGATTTTTATGCTAGCTTCTGTTACACGTGCAAAGAGTGATAGTGCAGTGCTGTATGCTAGTGTGGGTTCAACTCTTACAAGATTCCATGCAACTATTAGGTGTAAATTGCAATGTCTGCTTTCTATCCTTAGCGCTTCAGAAAACTATTCTGATGTAGGCTGCTTATATTCATTTCATAATAGTACTCAGAATTGCAGCTTAGTAGCTATCACCTGACTTATTTCATTCTGCTGTTTTTTCTTATTTACTAGTGCTGATTTGACTTGATAATGCAAACAAGTATGTTTCTACATTTATCCTTCTTTTTTTTTTTTTTTTTTTTCCATCTTTTTGCCTGTGTAAGTCACTATGAATTTCTCTTTCATTTTATTACCAATAGGAACGGGATACTATTATTCTTATTGGTTCTTCATGTGTCTATTGTTTTGATGTGTAGTCAAGTAGCTTATATCTTTTATTCATAAATTCTAAATGGGATTGAATCCATGTGGTTACTTCTTTTTTCCATATAGCAAAAGAGTCCATGGCTACTAAATCTTGATATTCAAAGGTTACTCTGAGGATTTGACTCTTCTCTTTCAATTTTGTGAAGTAATGCTATATTTGATTAATCTCTTTTATTCTTTATAGATTTGTCTAGGAAATGGCAAAGGGAACTAAAGGAAGACATGGGATCACCTCACAACAATGCAGGTCTACTCCATACCCCTTGCCTTCTCAGAAGAAATGTTCCAAACATTCTCAGAAGAAAGACTGGGAAGATGCAACATGTTCAGTATGCATGGAATATCCCCACAATGCTGTCCTCCTCCTCTGTTCCTCTCATGACAAAGGCTGTCGTCCTTACATGTGTGGGACCAGCTACCGCTATTCGAATTGCCTTGACCAGTACCGGAAAGCTTACACTAAAGACACACCAACACATGAAACTCAACCTCTTCATGGTTTATCCATTAGTGCAGACATACCCCCATTTTCTACTCAACCTACTGAGAAATGTGAGATTGCAAAACTTGCGTGCCCACTTTGTCGCGGTCAGGTGAAAGGTTGGACTGTGGTTGAAACTGCGCGTGAATTCCTGAATGCTAAGAAACGTAGCTGTATGCAGGATGGCTGCTCCTTTGTTGGAAACTATAGGGAAATACGCAAACATGTTAGGGCAGTGCACCCTGCTGCTAGGCCACGCGAAGTAGACCCTCTTCTTGAACAGAAGTGGAGACGGCTTGAGGGGGAGCGAGAGAGGGATGATGTGATCAGCACAATAATGTCATCAATGCCAGGGGCAATGGTTTTTGGTGATTATGTCATAGAAGGAGGACACTATGGGTTTTATTCCGAAGATGAGGATGGATTCGATGCAGATGTTGTGGAACGTCATAGCGAAGGTTTTAGGGTGGGAGTTGATGGCAATTTGATGAATGCCTTACTTCTTCTGCAGGCATTGGGTTCTGCTGGTAATCTTGGCTCCGACAGGGAAATAAGGCAGCAGTACAACAGTGACCCAAACAACGTTTTGGATGAAGGCGCTGTTGGAATTGATCACAACCTTCCGGTGGTCAGTTACGATTGCTCTAGTGAAGATAGTGATCATATTGCTGATGGCCATGACAATGGTACATCACTAGTTGGGCGTGCCCGCCATCAAGGTTTGGGGGGTACTGGTAGGAGACGTAGGCGTAGACACTAGACAGGCAAATGGAGGTCAACGACAGGGGTATTGCTATTGACGGAGGTTCGAAGTTGGAAATGTTTAGGGTGTTAATTTAGTAGAAGGGATACATAGGTATTCTAACATGATAATCTGCTAGGCACTGATGTTCGATATTTATGGTGGGCCAAGATGAAGGGTGTCGGGGGACCTTCAAGAAAGTTGATTCTTTTGTAATTGTTGTTTGTATCTTCCTAATTCTCTCTGTGACTGACCAGTCAATTTCACAAATCAATGTGATTTATCTTGTATATTCACACTCATTCTCTAATCCATTCCTGTAATTGTTGGGCATATATGGGTGTTTAATGTTGCAGACATTTGAGCTTCAAGATGTGGCCTTAAATTGTTGTTTTAAAGGCAATGAATGCTTGCTTAAGATGTGATGAAAACTACAATGCCAAGTATATTGCAACGGTGAACATTAAGCACAAATTTGATGAACATTAATCCAGGTTCATGGTATAATTTGCAATGCTAAAACAATGCAGTCATTTCATTTCATTGACTAAATGAAGAAGTTACTTTTCATGTCCCCAAGTAACATTGTATGCTTTAAAAGGAAAACTGTAAAACCTTAATACAATACTTGTTTCAACAATTCTCACCTCCAAAATTTCATGACCTGTGCAACGCTACCTTTTTGACATTTACAATGTTTAAAATCCAATTGTGCAGTGAGGAGTATTTGCAAGAGCACACATAGCGCTGACCATTCGACGTGCACTGGCTTCAGACTCCGTGCTTAAGAAAAAGCTTACAAATCTTTTATGCACTCATTCCCTCTTACCATCTTCTGGTTCATCTTCTCCGTCAGACGTTTCCATCCCTTCCTTCCTCTCCATTTTGACTAAACTGATATCACCTCTCGGGCTCTCTTTGCAAAAGGATTCTGTTTCTTCGTCATCACTATCTTCACCTTTCCCATCTGAGTAGGCATACCTGGCTCATGTACAGCTTCAATCAGTGACCAAATAAAAACTGAAAACAAAGATGGCCATATAGTTTGGCTAGCTGTTGAATTAAGATTATTTTTTTTTTATAAACAGACTATACTAATGGTAACAATAAAGTACGGAGTAAAAAATTGCAATCCCTATCACAGTATGTCCAGTCAGTAGAGGAGCCAACTGCACAGTGTACCAAGAGAAAGGTGTTTTTAATGTGCCTAACATGATTAATTGCACGTGAAACGTAGAACAGTGAAAGAATTGTTTAGCTCAGGAAAAATGTTATCAATATCTTCTTGAGCTTATAGAAAACTTTCAGTTTTTTTTTCTAGGTCCTTAAAGAAACACCAGAAGTATGAATGAACAGCAACCACCCTAAAAAGTGTATTTATTACAGAACCCCTACCTTTGGGAGCTCTGAGATGGTGCCCATAGGAAACAGATGACACATAGCAGTGCAAATGCAAGAATGTCCCAGAAAGCAGTGATAATCCATCCACTTTGCCACCTCTCATTGAAGGGATCTGTCGCTTTGAAGTAAACCTTCAGGAAAAGAATTTACTGATTAATAATTGTAGGTTATTGAAGGTTCACAATCCATTTTTTTTTCCTTCCAAAATTAAAGTAGATAAGTGGATATAACTAGGGAAAAAAGGTGATTGCAGATCAAATTCCCATGCCATTGTTTAAAAGTTGAACTCTAAAATAAAATAGAATTGTCAATATAACTAGTAGTTTGAAATTGGTGATTGTATAACAAGGTATTGGAACTGACTTGACTAAAATGTCAAAAAATTGCAACAATCTTCAAAGTGTCAAATAAAACTTTCACCATTTCTGATGAAATTTTCCAACTGGTGTCCAGAGATAAGCAGAGAAGAGGTTCCAAGTCAGTAAAAGTAAAATTTTCTTCTGAAGAATGAAAAACATGAGGGCCATAGATCACTTGGTTTGTGAACTTGAAATTAAACTACAAATGCTGAAATGCACTAGATATTTGTCAAAGGCACCAGCAAGAGCAAGTTGAAACATTCATAAGGAGTGCATAACAATAAAATTGATTCACATGTCAACAACTAATAGTCAATAAGTTCAGCAGCAACTGAAAACTATTAACATAGCATGTCAAAGTTTCCTTGACCAAGCACATACCTCATACCCTATCCAAGCAACTGAAGCAATAATAGTAACTGCTAATGCATTTGAAAATTGCCTATATAAATCTAACTTCACGGAACTTCTCTTTGCCTGAAGAAAAGTGAATTAATGTTTTGGTCAGTACAATCTGAAAGTTAAATGTTAACAGAAAAAGGAAGAGTTAGTGAAGGATTAACCTGTAATTGCTCGAGTGTCCTTGAAAGAGAAGTGAAAACCCACAAGATCAAAAATGCATCCAAGAATGCATCAGGAAGGACCAAGAAGACTCTAGCTCTTCCTGCTACATCATTTATGGTTCCCACATACTCAGTAATATTAAGTAGCTCAGATGCCACAAAATATGTCATTCCAAGAAGCAACACCTTTATTGTAAGACCACCAAGGGTAGGGCGCACGACACCATAACCCATTGAGATGGAAAGAATAAGGATGCGTGAAATAGTTCTCCTTATTGATCCAATTGTAACAACCCAAGATGTGAGGCCCACAGGCCTCACACCAGTGTTATTGAAGTAAGAATAGTCAAGATACCAAAATAGCATCTCAAATAGCCCAAGAGCAATAACACCAGCAATGCAGTGCTGAAGTGGCAAAACATCCTTCCAGTATCTCACATATTGAAAACACCACATGGCAGTGAGGATAACATATGCAAGAGACATAATAGAATAAAATTTCATTAGGGGTGCCATTCTACCAGGCAAAAAGCCGTCAGGATTTTTCCACAATGTTTTCCCAGTTACTTCCATTCCCTTGAGCTTTGGATCACATGAGATGAAGAACAAGTTATACATCCCGGTCTTTTTTATATAAACCTCCCGGTTTTTCATACGTGCAGATAACTGTTTTCCTCTAAAATGCACATTCAACACCACTGGCCAGTTAATATCTGTTGCTGAAGGTGTCCTAATGACTTCCCCTTGTTTGCAACCTTCCAGTTTAGCAAGATCAGGGGTACAACAAATAGACCTTTGCCCACCATAAGGTGAACCACCAATATTATCACGGTCTGCTGCCTCAAAAATTATGATCTGTATCAAACCGCTATTGTATGCCATATCTGGATGTTGGTCTGCAGTTTCTTTACTCCTCCAAAATGTGAGATTCTCAAATCTATAAATTTTCACATTATCAGGACATTTATTTCAAATATAAACCAGCAAACAAATTCAGTAGAAAACATCAGCAGGGATAGCATGCATTCATACTTATAACTATGAAAATTATTTGCCAAACTCATGGAAATATAATTTTTCCAGTTGATTCAAACTCGCTTTCCTGCTATAGTATTACAAAAAAAAAAAAAAAAAACTCAGCATAACTAGCATCACGCTTTTTGATATGTTGTCTACCAACAGGTTTAACAAGGAATACATTCAGTGAAATCTAGTCTAATATTGTACTCTCTTGCAATGACCAACAAAAGAATAGTATGAATTAGTGCTAATTAGAGGACTAGTAAATAAATAAACTTCTACTTTTGCAACAGAGTAGGCCTACAATCCTAGCTCAAAACTGAGGACTTACTAGGTACTAAATCTTTCTTTACTAACATCTTTATTGAACTTCTTAACACTAACAAATTTAGCGGGAGTAATGCTATAATTACAAAATCAACCTTCAATTCAGAGTTACAACTCTAGTCTCTTGTAGATCTTAAAATCTAAAATTAGATTACAGCGTTGATTTTAAACAAAATTACATTAAGTTTTAAGTATTTTGTTCAGCTTCCTGAACTTCAAAACATTGAAGTATACATCTAATCTTCATTCCAACAACAAATGGCGTCCGAAAACACTCAGCTAGGTGATATTCAAACGGAGACATACAGAATAAATGCGAAACTAGATCTAAGCATACACCGGCCAATTGAACTCGATCTAATCTATAATTACACGTAAATAGAAGTTTTGCGCACGAGTTTTGTGTTTACCTGATGTAAGAGAGTCCGTCGTGGACAGTGGAGTGAAATGCACGACGCGGCTTAGGGACGGAGAAGGTGGCGGCGAGGCCTTCGCTGCCGCCGGAGACGAGGTAAGCATTGCCGACCTCTCTAAACGGATCTCGGTCGTAGTTGTGTATCGAGGCTTCAGCTGATCCAACGGCATAGAATACAGTTATCAAGGCGGGGAGCAGTGTGACGAGTAAACAGTGTATAGAAGTGCGCGCCATGCCTGTCCGCCAGATGGCCACGGATTCCGGCGACTGGATCGGCTATTTTCAGGGCGATGGTTGGCGATGGAGGAGGGTGAGGAGTAAGCTTCAAGGTTCAGTGTCGCAAGCAACTGACAATGGAAATAAAGCTGATGTTTACAAGTGTGCAATTATTCGTCTTATTTATCAATTTGATGCCTTTCTTGGTTTCTTTAATTAATTAAATTAGGAAATGCTATTATTATTATGATTGCGATCGGTTAACTAAGCAGTGTGAGATATTCAAAAGGAATAAAACACTTTCAAATTCAACCAATTTAATTTGAGTTAATACCAAAAATGGTCATCGAGTATATTGATTCTTCTCAATTTCATCTTAAACAACTTTGGTGACTTAATGTAGTCCCATCCTTTTTGTGTTTTTACTCAATTGAGTTATCCGTTTGTTATTCTATCAAATTGGTGTTAAATAAATGAATAATTCAGTAATCTCAATATTGACATCTCTTTACTTTCAGCCTCCGAAGTGCGAAATCCCTATTTCTTTTGCAAATTACTCCCAGACATGCAGATCAAATTTCATATTTGCAGATTTGAAAATAATTTTGAGAGTATTTCGTAAAATAAATAGCGATTTCGCACTTCATGTCTAAGAGTAAAAAGATGTCAATATTGAATTTACTAAATTATCCCTTTATTTAACACTAAATAGACAAAATAACAATCGAATGATTAAATCATGTCGTACTAAATGAAAATTGCATTCCTTTACTTTACTTGATTTACTATTCACGGGTAATGCCTAATTTATGAAAATTTTATTTTTTCCAACAAAAAAAAAAGACTAAACGTGTTAATAGTGGAGATATTTTAAATGAATATTATTATACCTTACATTAAAGAAAAAAAGTCCTTGTTTGGTAACACTTATTTAGTCAAACTATGAAATTACAAGATTTTATACTTTCTATTTTTAATAGTTGATTTTTTGAGGTGCATAAATGTAAAAAATTCACATTTTTTATGCGTTTAAATTATATATATATATATATATATATATATATATATATATATATATATATATTTATTTATTTATTTATTTATTTATTTATTTATTTATTTATTTATTTACAGAGTATTATTAATAGAACTTAAAAAATAATATTTGAGAAAGAGGCTGCCATCAATGGCCCAAGCCAAAGGTCCAACCCAGTACATACTACATATTGTTTTTCAGTCTTCCGCTCTCGGCAAATTCTTCTCTAAGGATGAAGTATTCTTTTTTCGGAACTCCCGCGTTTCTCAGGTATTATAATTTATATGCTTCTCCAATGTATTATTTGTTAAAGAATTGCTGATTTCTTATGTATTGTGGAATGATTTCTTGCTTGACACATGAATCATACTTCAAATATTGTGTTCTTCAGTCACTCTAGCGTCAAGGCAAAGAACTAGAGCAGGGCGAGTGAGGTTTAACACGCGATTAATCTAAGACTTCTCTTGAAAATCCTATAATTTATGCTTTAGTGATCTCTAAGAACTCAAGTTTATTCATTGAAATTGAAATATAAGGATACTTTTGGAATGCTAAGTTGCATATTCAAACAAGAATCCTTTGGAGCTGGTTTAGCAAGGTTATGTGCTCTGACAATAATTAGAATGCTTCATAGCCTTAGGTTTTATCCTCTTCTTGATATGATGGCCATGAAAGTGCTGTTTTGTAGTTTCTTTGAGTCCAATGGATTAGAATCAAGGACTGAGATGCTGGGCTGCTGGCAGCTTAGTCTTTGACTGAGCTTGGTGAAAAACTATTTGAGGATTGATTTGGCTATTCATAAGTTAACTTGGGTTGATCAAATCTTTGGAATCTAGAGTAGTTCAGTAGTACTTTCTGTTTCTATACAGGGTGCAGTGTGGCCATGTAAAAGAATTGGCTTTGGTATCTAGAATTTTATTCTCTTCCTGTATGGTTTAGGAGCAGGCTTTCTCATACAGGATTCAAGTAATTTTTACTGTAAAAAGTGGAAACATCAAACATTGGTGTCTTACTTGACAAAGCAATAAATGATATATCATCTATCTATTGCACTAATAAACATAAGTCAATTTCAATTGCTTTGATGTTCTTCAATCACAAATAACAGGGAGCTAAATGAACAACATCTGTGCAACATTTGTGCAACATCTGTGCAACACCTGTGCAACATCTGTGCATATTGTTGATTTAATAGTGACATGACATACTTTAGTATATTACTTTTTATCTGAAAGTCTATATAACAAGAAATTAAAACAGCTTTGATAACGTTTAAGTTCAAGATTATAATTCCTAATAATCAGAATCCCTGTTGAGCATGAAACATATTACAAGCTATAAGAGATTTTCAAGGAGCAGTTGGTGGCTTGAGCAGCATACTTCCAAGACCAATATCACTATCTGGAATACATTGCCACTTATTATATACTAGAATATCTTCTTCTTCAGATTTGTTTTCATCCTCCAAATCTTGTTGAATTTGATAAAGTTGCAAATGGAGATTATCAATTAATGATGAATGTTGTTTTTGGAGATTTGATCTTTTCCTTCTGGTAACATTTTTAGGATACCAGACAGGCCATTGGTCTGCTTCTCCAGAGAGGCAAACTGCAAAAATCAGCATATATAAAGGAATAAAGTGTTAATCAACTTTCTTTTTATGGTGGACTGAGTATGGATTGGTAGTAAATATTCAGCTGGATTTTTCAATAATTGCAAATTGAGGCATAAACTTGAAATAACACTAACAAGCATGGCCGCATTTCAATTGTTTATTGGTTTTGTTAAAGTTTTGATATTATATACATGGTAAGGCAAATGAAAGAACATGTTTTAATATCTCTTCCTAAGATGGAAACTGGAGAAACTAATGGAAAACTGATACATGCTATTATTGTAATATTAAAATTGTCATTCAATAATAGATATTTAAAGATTGATCCATTGTTGCTAATTGAGACTAGTCTGTGCATATTTTAGAAACTATCCCTTATTAAACTCATCCTATGCATTCAATTTGGATAAAGATGATTGTGAAAAGCAATAAGAAGCTGAAATATTTGTGTAGATTTTCTTAAATTCTGATTTTACTTTTGCAGTCATATTTCCTTTTGATATTCAGAGACTTGCCCTTAATGCAAATTAGGAAAGAGAAGTTTATCCTATAAAGAGAAATACAATCCTATATGCTTCATGGACTCGCTTCAATTTTGTCTACGACTTGAGAACAACAGCATTACTTTGATATGCAGTTTTGGCAGTAAGTATTCAAGTACTACATTTATGTTGCTCGTATTCTCTATCTCTTTTATTTTATTTTATTGAAACAAAAATATTAATGTACCTTCTGTTCCTTGTGTTAGCATGCAATTCACTGGAGATGGTACTGAAGATTCTGAGCTTGAAATGCTAAATTCCCCCTCTTTAGGAGAGGTGGGACGCAGATCACTTCCTTTAGGCATTTTTCCTGCTCTCAACTTTTGCTGAGAGGTGATTCTGACAGCATGCCTCTTGGAAGGTAATTTGTGAATTTTACCACTTGCATCTCTAATTCCATGTTTTGGAACATAATCATTGAGATTTCCCCTTAACCTCCATCTTGATCCACATGCATTGCACAGAACTGGCTTTTCTTCTGGTCCCACTCTCCAAAGTGGAGTATCTGTTTCATGTCATGGATTTTGAGTTTTTACAATTGATACTGATTATGAACTATTGATTAAACAATAATTAACTTATATAATATGAAGATAATAGGAAAAACAAAAGAAGGAAAAATGTCTAGATCAGGAAGGTTGTCAATTGTGAAACAAACCTTTTTATATAAAATCAGTGAAACATGAATTATTGCATATATTAACTTGGAGAACAGGAGAAGGCATGCAAAGAATGTTGTGGTAGTAATTTCACTGGAAAAGAAAGAATTCAAGCTAGCTAAACCTTCCTCCAATAAGAGATGACAATGTGGCCTGTCAATAGTATGGGCTGGGAGTATAATCCCCATCCTTAAACCCTCCGCTGACCTTATTTCCATATCCATCTTCCTACTTAGTTAAAATTTAGCATACTCCTTCCAATATCATCTAAACCTCTATATCCCCTGTTACCTTCCCCTTTACCCATCCCATAAACATGCTTTGAATAAGAATTATCATTCCAACAGTGAACAAGTAATTCATTTGCTTGTAGCTATAGATCACATGACTTGGATCAAAATCTACCTCTACGTGTAGCCTCATTAGCAACCAGCCTCTTCTTGATTTAAATGAAAGTGGTTTTTGGAAATGGAAAGACTTAGATCTTAATAAATATCAAATCCAAGGATAACAATCATACTTCAGGTCTCTCCACCAAAAAAAAAAAAAAAAATCATACTTCAGGTCTGCTATACTACTGTGGCTGTCTTGAACCTCTCCATCATCTAATGCATCTCTGCCTTGTGCCTCCATCAATGAGGGCAGTGGCTGAGAGGTAGTGAGAGCTAAGCTTGGCCAGAGATTGCCTTGGTGTGATAGTGACCAATTGTTTTAAAACATTGGTCAGTAATGAAGAAAGCCAACAAAGAAAGGACTTTACCCTTGTTTACTCAAGCAATCTTATTTTACAAACTACTAGAAAACTAATGACTTATAAATATCAAGCAATCTTTAAAGACCTCATATCCACTCTTTTTTAATATCTCATATTATGATTCTTATACTATAGATGCTATAAAAATAAAGATATAATCTAATATAAAAATCATAATTATTATATAAATGTATATATTAATATATTATAATTTTGTGAACTAGGTAGCGTCAAGAGTGTGAATATGTGGATACAGTAACTAGGTATTTTGTAAAGGTGCCTAAAAATTCCCAATAATGGCCACCATCCCCTTAATTAGTCCCTGTACCTATACCCATCTGAGTATATGTTGGGTATGGGTGCAATTTTCATTTCTAGCTCCAATTGAATACAATACATTTTTTATGCTGAGTGTATCTTTAAAGACAGAATAGAGTCTAAGTTGCTCTACTCTTTGACACTAAATTAATTGAAATGTTTGAATTTGCATTTCATTTTTGTATGTCACCCCAAGTAAATCCTCCATAGATCCATCTTAGTATTCTCATTTCCATAAAGATCACATTATGAACATTTTGCTTCTTTGACTATCAGCATTCAATGCAATTAACATAAACCCTAATTGTTGTGCTGCACAACTTTCCATTAAACTTCAGAGCCACATAAAAGGCCTATGACACTTATCCACTTCACCCAACAAACCTTTCTATGATTTAGATCATTGTTCAGCTTTCCTCATGGAGAATACATTCAATTTATTATTTCAACATAATGGAGAATCAATATAGTATTTGCTATGAATAATTTAAAATGTTATTTCAGAGTAATTTGCAATTATGAGGATTAGAGGTAGGTGAAGGAATTTGGGATGGATTAAAAACATAAGTTGGTCAACTTTAATGGGACAGTGAGAGCATATAGATCTTGATAACACTAACTTTAGGTAATTGTTGAACAGTGGCGGACTCAGGAATTTTTTGCAGCGGGGGCAAAATATTAGCAAAATTGATAATTAGAAAAAAAAATGAAACACTTAAAAAGTATATCCATAAATAATGTTGGATATAAGAAAATTATAAAACACGTCAAAACATTATAAAAATATTCATAACAAAATATGAATATAATCAATTTGATAAAATAATTTGAATAAAAGATCCATTATAAATTACACATCTCATTTTTTTTTTTTGGGTAAACATCTCATCTCATTATTAATATATAAATGAAGATTATATTATTGTGTTGAAACAATATGTACTATTAATAATAGTGAAATAAAATGTGAAAAGGTAGTGTTAATAGTGGAATAATAAGAAAAGAAAAATATTCATAACAAAATATGAACATAATCAATTTGATAAAATAATTTGAATAAAAGATTCATTATAAATTACACATCTCATCATTAATATATAAATGAAGATTATATTATTGTGTTGAAGCAATATGTACTATTAATAATAGTGAAAATGTGAAAAGGTAGTGTTAATAGTGGAATAATAAGAAAAAGAAATGCTGACAATAAATAGAGGAGAATCAAACCCTGGCTAGCATTTTGTCTATCCACACACTCATCCAACTAGGCCAAGCTACACTTTGTTAAAATTTCTCTATTTTATAATACTAATACTAAAACTTGTACTATATATACACATATACATACAAAGGTTATATAAGGGGTGGGGGTGGGGTGAGTGGGGGCAGCTGACCCCACTGTAGGTCCGCCTCTGTTGTTGAATCACATAGACACATCTACTGCAAGGGCTGAAGACTCAGAAGAAATTCCTAGGGGAAAACTTGTTGTCTTGTCTTCCCTTCAGTAGTATGTTTGTTTGATGCAAAATGAAGCTTATTTAGACACCCACATAGATTTTCCCTCTAAAGCTAGACACATCTACTACAAGGGCTGAAGACTCTGAAGAAATTCCTAGGGGAAAACTTGTTGTCTTGTCTTCCCTTGAGTAGTATGTTTGTTTGATGCAAAATGAAGCTTATTTAGACACCCACATAGATTTTCCCTCTAAAGCTAGACACATCTACTACAAGGGCTGAAGACTCAGAAGAAATTACTAGGGGAAAACTTGTTGTCTTGTCTTCCCTTGAGTAGTATGTTTGTTTGATGCAAAATGAAGCTTATTTAGACACCCACATAGATTTTCCCTCTAAAGCTAGACACATCTACTACAAGGGCTGAAGACTCAGAAGAAATTCCTAGGGGAAAACTTGTTGTCTTGTCTTCCCTTGAGTAGTATGTTTGTTTGATGCAAAGTGAAGCTTATTTAGACACCCGCATAGATTTTCCCTCTAAAGCTAGACAGGTAAAAAAAATTATAGTATAATTCTGCAACTCATCAATTAAAAAAAATTGTCATTTTCTATTTGAGAAATAGAAAGAAATTAAGAAAATGAGGTATTGACTACTATTCTCTCATGCAAATTTTCACCTTCAATACATGGATACTAAGGTCATTCCATTAGTATTTCTCTCCAAATCCTAAAATGGAAGGGCAAAATAGAAATTCAATTTTTCTTTTGAGGGTGGCAGTAGTAAAGATGTTACAAAAAGTACTCACAGGTAATCCGGCAATGACAACACGGCCCTTCTCTGCCCATTGGATTCGATGGTGATGATTTTCAAGTTCTGAAGAATTCTTCAACTCAAGAACTTTTCTTTCAACCCTGAAGAATGTATTCTACAGTTTGAGTGAGGCTAGGCTAGTCTGATGTATAGCGAATAAGCCGAATATATATGATGCTCTTACACTTTCTGGCAACATGAACTTCAAAGGATTTCTGAGTGGGCCCCACCACCTTTTTATGGATTTTAATTAATTCTTCGATGATGATAAAAGAAATCACATATGGTAATTTTTCTTACCTTTTTAGGCATTTAATTAATTCATTACTAAAGAAGGCAAAGACAATTAGAAATTTTACATAAATGAATTTTCTTATCAATTCTAGTTTCTATTATTTGGGTGGAAATGTAATAACGCAATGTTTTTTTGCGGTTGAGTTTCCAAATATGACGCTTTCAATAATTCCTTTCTTACAGTCTCTGTTTAGTTGATGTACTTGGCCATCTCTGTCTGTATTTGTCATCTCATTTCTAGGCATATATGTGCATCATAAAAGTTTGCTTTTCAATTGACCTAACAACAAAGAGAGTCAAATGTTTCTTTTTAATGATGAGGTAAAGCATTTAAGACTTACGTTTTGTCATTTAATGTTTTATGGGACAAATAAAATTGGGTCAAAGGTTGCATATAATATATCTTCATTAGCATAATCACCCTTTGAGATTCTAGAAATGCATATTACTTGGAAAATCTACTGTCTGACATGGTTCATTGTCACCTTTTTCTCGAGCTTGAGGGATGCTTATAAGGTTGTGAGTAAAAAGGTGTATAGTTTTGACTATGTTATCATATAGTATCGACATTTGTATTTTGTACATGGATTGGTGCGTCTCTTATCTGCCTAAATAATGCCAAAAGTTTAATATGTGCCACGTCCAAGATTAATGTTATGGGCCTTCAAAGGCAACCCCATTAATGGTGGAAACAGGTATCTCCGGGTCCTAAGGAGACTGTCTTTATGCATATGTAAATAATCTAGGACATAGGACTAAATTCTTAGTCTTTACGCATATGTAAATAATCTGGGACAGAGGACTAACTGACCAAGAATTGTACAAAATGTACGAGTTTTTAGTGTCTTGTTTTTATGCTTATGTGAATATAATCTGCAATGGTTCACTAAGAATTATGCAGAACATTTAGCAGTCCTTTTATTAGGTTGAACTGATTGTATCAAAATGTTGTGCATCAGGTGATATGCAACTCTGGGTGTGTTTTACATGATTCTCCCTCGCAACTCTTGGTCTAGGTGCAGCGCAAAATGCAACATATTTATGAAGGCAGCAATCGAGTTGCAGATGCCTTCGAAAATGTGGGAGTGAAAGCGCCTTCTCGGCTGCTTCTTTGGTCTGTCATCTACCCTCAATTCTTCTCTCTCTCTCTCTCTCTCTCTCTCTCTATATATATATATATATATATATATATATATATATATATATATATATATATATATATACCATTTCATCTTGAATTGGGTATATGTAGGAATGGCTGCCCCAAATTATGGTATGATATATAGGGTGTGTTGCAGCTCATGTAGTAATTTTGGTTTGAAAGAGAACTGACTGCCTGAAAACTGTGACTTAGCCAGCATTTGTTAGTTGTGGAAAAAGAGAGATGAAAGTCATAGGAGTGAACTAATGAAAGAAAAACAACCTTAAATCCCCAAGTATGGTCCAAGAAAAAAGTGTGAGAAACTGAGAATAAGAACCTTTATAATGAAAGCATAGGCCACTTTTCAAATCTATAATGCTACATGGACCAATCAAGCATATAAAACATTCAAACAGAAATAACATAGAGAGTAGCATGTATGAGGTGATGCATTTCCAAACAGCATATACAAAAATTTCTATGCTCCCTGCAGAAAAGAAGGATGGACAAATATTTCAAGGAGCCTTGTATGGGTGGAATAAAAGAAGTTAAGTGGAGGCTCTGCGGCTCCACCTTCGAGCCTTTCTCCTGGTCTTCTTCTTCTTGATCTTGGATGAAGAAAGCTTGGAAAGCGAACGGATTTTTGGAGCTGGTTGAACTTCTACCGGCAGCTCAGGTTCTCCAACAGCGGGAGGAAGGGCTTCCCTCTGGCCTTCCTCTGGCACACAAGATTTTTCTACTTGATGTAACATGACCTCCTCCAGATTACTCATCCTTTTATTGTCGATTAGAATGTCACCTTCACCCTGCATAGATGCAAATAAACTGTGGTTCATAAGTGATGATATTAATGTTTATATAGACTGTGAGTAAAAGGTTTATTCACGATTAATTCATTTTATCTGGTGAAAAAGTTACTGTGATGGTAGCTCAAAGTCTGGGAGAATAATGGCAGGCCAAGGATAATATACTTACATTGCTTACGCCACCAATAAGAGATTGGCTTGTACTTTCAATCACATCAGGGATGCTTGTACCATCTCCTCGAGTTGAAATGGCACCTTGAGGTGCAATCATATCTCCAGTGTTATAGTCAGAAATAAGCTGAGATGCTAGAGAAGACCCTACAGCCATTTTGCCCCCACTCTTTGGAGATGAAGGATTTCGAGAAGAGCTGCTCAAAGCATTGCAGGGTAAAAACAAGCTCAAGTTATCAGTGCTAGAAAACTTCCCTGCATTTTCACTCAATACCTTGTCAACTCTACTTCTAAGCTGGCTAACTTGTGATTGCAAAACACCAATCTTACGGAGTATTTGTTCAGAGGAATTATGTTCATCTCTGGACCCAAACCATAGATGTTCACTGTTAGCCCCAGATCCATGATTGCCATTTTCCTTTTCAATGGGAATTGCTGCAGAATAAAATCTGATTTTAAAAATTATAAATTGGACAGAATGAACTCCATTGAAAAAAAAAAAAAAAACCCTAAAAAAATTGATCTCCTTAGCATCTGAAATATAAATGGAATTTGTTGGGACCTGGAAACATCAATGAAACCGCAATACAGCATGTCATATTACTCATCAATGAAACCGCAAAGGCCAGGAGCTTCTTACACGGTAGTCTAAACATAACACGGTAGGTCTTCTTACACTCTACAAACAAGACCTAGGTGAACGGAATTTTGATTGTTTGCAAATGGAAAAAAAGGTTAGCTTGTTACTCATCATCTAATCCTTTTAGAAGATATTTGTTTTGAACACTAAAAACAGGCACAAAGGTAAAACCTTCCCCAAAGTACAATCCAAGGTCAGATTCTCCTGTTCAAGATTGGAAAGGCCTCATGAGAAGAAGCAACAAAGCTTTTGCTAAGAGGTAACTGTGGATCAGCTATAGACTATAGTAACTGAGCAAAACTCCTAACTAGGCAGTTTTATTTTGGGGAGGAGGGATAATGAAGACTAACTGCCCATCTTATCTTTATGTCCTTTCTAATTCCAATTAGTGAAAACTTGGTAGATTTCATTCAGGTAAGGTCTCCCTAGTTGCAGAAAAAGAAATGAAAAGTGAAAACAAAGTAAAAAATGAAAACTGTGATTTCATATGCATGAAAACAACACAATTAAATAATCAAAAAAAGAATTCCGCACCTGTAGGGCCACAGTCATCATTAAGAGAAGTACCATCAGCAAAAGATTTTTTACGTTCTGCGACATTCAAACATCATGTCACAACTTGAAACACAAGGCAGAAAGAAGGAAGGGGCTAAAGAGGATTTCTTTTACCATAGTAAGAAAACAAATTGTGGCGGGACATATATACTGCTGTGTCCTCAGTATCTTCAACTCTTTTTCTTTTCTTTCTTTTTAGAACCTTACTTCTAGGTCTGTTATTGGAAAATGGAAGTGACTTTGAGCCAAAACTTTCTGTTCTCGCACTCTCCAACTGAAAATTGTTTTGGTGGTTGTAGCACGCAAGTTCTTTGTCATACTTTCGTGCTTGAAACTGAAGTTGCATGATTTGCAATTCAATCCACTTAATACGCCATGAGAGTGGCTGTACAAATCTTGTCCAGTGAGAGGTTAATTGTTTCTTCCTGGAAGGCCAATAGTAATAATGTCAACAGCCATCCAGATTCCAGACTAAATATTCAGAAACACACAGGACAAAAACAGATGTTCTATTGAGAATAAGCATTAAAGAGAATATGAACTATTCCTCAGCTCGTTTTTTTATTGGATCAGAATGAAGACGGGTATTTTTCACTCCAAAATGAGGTGAAATTTATTCTTCATCTACTAATAACACTATATATGGCATAAAACTCTTCCCTTCCTCAATCCTCTCTTCTCATCTGAATACAACTTTTCTTCTCCATTTTATGTGTGCCCATTTTCTTTCCCCTTACATTCTCTACCCATCCAAACACAGCAATAAGATTATACAAAGAGAAAAATCCAATGTTCAAACCAAGATCATTAAAGCACGAATGACAACTTTCTAGTAAATGGCCAAACATAAAGCAGGTTTCCCTCTGAGGAGAATAAAAAGAAAATCCAAAATAACCCCAGTCCTCACCACCATCACATCACCAGCAATAACCTTCTTCTATTCCTAAATATTAATTGAGAATGAAGCAGTCCCAAGTACACATGCAACTCTATCATACAACGTCAATTCAAGGATCATAAATTTATTTCCCAATAAATTATTTGAGAATTTTGAAGTTTAGGTTGAGCCTAGTGTCAAACATCAATTTTGGCACAGTAGAAACTTTATTGCAGGATATAAAATGGCTACATTTAGGATATAAACTCAGGGATATAGCAAGCACCTTTTCCTGAATTCATTACCCAATCCACTATGTGGTTGTCCAGATGCATAATGTCCATTAAAACCTGATACAATTTCAGCATCACTCAACACAGCATCATTTTCTGTTGCAGAAGTGGAACTGTCAAAGGAGCTCGAACTCTCCGTCACAAATTGACATTCTGATTCATCCAGCTCTTTGCAGCCATAATTTGTAACCTTAAGTATATCAACTTCCTCAAGCTCCGCTCCATAGACCTTGTCTCTTTGTTCAGCCAGGACAGAATAATCCTCACAGTTGCTTTCACACTTAATATCATTAACCTCTAGTTCTTTACTAGCAGCTCCACTCTCTTTCAAGGCAGAAGCCTCAGTGACAGCTTCTGATCCTTTGTTGAGCCCCAATTCAAGACCCATGCTTTGGGATTCAGCTCATACGCTGAACAAACACAAATAACAACCTGCAGATAAAACGAAGAAAATTTTCCACTGAAAATTCATTGGATGAGAAGCAAACTTTGCTACATTTGATGCACCAAATAGGCTTTAACTACAAACTAAATTCAGAATAGCATAGAACAGAAATACTCAATTAATTATACAACGTACAAAATTAAGAACTCAGAAAAAGCATGAACAAAGTAAATAACAACATTATAAATAATAGAAAATTATCAGCTGAATTCGCCGCAGATAAGAAGTAATCCTAAAAACTGATTTACACCGAAAAAAAAAAAAAAGGAAAATCGAGAAAATGAGACGTACCTAAGGTTAAAATTCCGGGAAACTCGATGATCCTGATGGAGTGATATTCACATATAGGTTTTTGCAGCTCGTGGACGAGAAAAACAGCTCCGGCCAACGGCCACGTAGCACGGAGGCGCGGCGAGAATACGGTGGCGGGCGTGAGAAAGAGGATGAGGCGCGCGGACCGGGACGGTGGTGGTCTTGGGGGAAAGAACAGAATATGTCAAAAAGGAAATTGTGGACCGAATTAATGAGTTACTCCGAATTTCGGGTTTAGTAACGATATTTCTTCCTTGCTCTCAAAAAAGTAACGATATTTCTTCCCAATATTTTGTACCAAAAATAAAAATAAAAATTAGCTCAGAGTAAATTGTCATGTCAAACTCGACTCAACTTATTTGGAAAGATTCAGATAGTCCACCCATCTTTAAAAAATTAACACCCTACTAGTTAAATTCATATAAAAAGACTTAATTCACCTGGTTGGTTGATATAAGTTTTAATAAGTTCCCATGGATTTAGCTTATTGGTTCAGTAAGTAGTATTTAAAAGAAAAAATTAAAGTTCAAATCTCGACAACGGCACTGTAGAGATTATGTTCGAAGTGGATAAATCCCGACAGCGACAATGTAGAGATTATTTCTTTGTGCACACTGACACATGCATGCTCTTTCGAGCCGTAGCAATTATCCGAAGATTATTTCCTTGTGCAGACGGACACATGCATGCTCTTTCGAGCCGTAACAATTATCCGGAGATTATTTCCTTGTGCGCACCGACACATGCATGCTCTTTCGAGCAGGGGTAGCTATTATTTTGGAATTATTTGATGCTTAGACATCTTTTAGCCATAGCAACTATCCCGACATGGGTAGTTGTGGCGATAACATTTCCCGTTATTATTGATTATGAATTATGAATATATTTTAAATTCTATAAGATTTTATAATTGGTGTAATAGAATCCTTTAATTTATTCTGCTGCTTAAATTATGATTTATCTAGACTCTAAGATTGAAAAATAGAAGTGTTACAAGTAAAAAAACTTCGATGATCGAGTTCATACCAAAATACTCGATCCACTATACTTATCTAGGAACGTGTTATCCCCGAAAAAGTATACAATAGCTCAATAATTTGCATGGATGATTGAAATATGTATAACTCCGTATTATGTAATCTTCTCCAGTGAGAGGTTAAGCTATTGCACAAGAGTCTACATTTCTACCACTTGAGTAGATTCTTAGCACAGTATGTACCAAACACAAACCATCCAAAAACAAGGAAAGAGAAGGACAACAAGGCAATCAAGAAATGCCATCCAGTCATGGCTAGTCCCAAGCAGAGCACTGTGATGCAGGGGAGAAATGATCTTAGAACAGAGAAGCCGTCGACCCAGTGGCCTTTGATCAGCACGAGAGCCGCCACGCTAACCATGTTCCACCCCATTGACCCGCCATAGCACACCCGGTTGAGGCAATTAGCCACAAAGGAGTAGCAGTTGCAGGTGAAGATGTTGTAGGTGTGGTGCTCGAAGTGGCATTGGCTCGAGTAGAGGGCGTCGTCCCAAGTGATCGATGTTCCATTGTCTGCGTGCCGGTATCTGCAGCTGCAGGTGTGCCCCGCGAGGTGTGGGGGAAAGCAGCACTGAGTGAGAACACAAGAAATCTTGTCAATGAATCGGTTAAAGAAAGAGGAGCAACTTAAAACGTGCACGTATGCACCAAAAGACGTTGGTTCATGTGGAAGAGTTCGGGTCGTTTGAGCATGGAGTATCACGAAAGCAAGACACACCACAATCAGTAGGCAAGGAAGTTCACCAATGTGGGGCAACCCTGCCAAGTCGGTGAGATTGCTGACTTGATAATCATAATGTTACAAGTTAAGTTTGCCTTCTTAGTTTGAGCCAGTCAGTTAGTTATGAGCAACATTGTCCTGCCAAGTTGGTCAGACTGTTGACTTAGTAATCATAATGTTACAAGTTTGATGAGCAGGAGTGGCCTATTAGTCCTGTTGGTTTGAGCCGGTCAACTATGAGCAACATAGGCTAGTTTACCTCCTTCTGGTCCTTTGCCAGCTAGGGTCACAAGGCGGGTTTACCCAGTGCACACTTCAGATGGTGAAAGGAACAACAAAAGAAAGCGAAGTAATCACGCTACTTAAAACATGTAGGCATGTACCAAAAGACTTGACTCAAGCAAAAGGAGTTTGAGTCGTTTAAGTTCAACAAATAGTAGGTAGTAGGAGAAAGTTGGACCAGATAGGGAAAATTTTACCTTTGTTCTATCAAGCTGATAGTATCTGGCTACAGCTCCAAATGCAAAATCATCGACATTGATGAGGTAGGAACCCGAAAAATCTAAGATCACACCATCTTCCCTACAAATGCCAACATGCCCAAAGAAAGGCGTCAGCCAAGACACCACCGGGAGAGGACACCAAACTAAGCAACAAGGGAACTTCGAATTCTTAGGATCTATTTCATCAAGTGGCCACAGCACATGCCGAATCCTCTTTCTCCCCATCCCGAGAGTAGTAGAGGATATGTCCATCGCAGCAAGCCTTCCTGAAAGAATCTTTTTATGAATCCAAAATGACAGAATTCTTAGTCATAGAAAAGAAAAGAAAAAAGCCATTATAGAAAGATAGTGGTTAGTTTAGTTCATAGTCAAACTATAACAGCTCCGAATTATACATGAAAAGGCAGGGAGACAAATTCTGGAACATTGTGGTACATTGTGGAAAAAGAGTGCCCAAGTATATCATATATAGTCAAACCAAAACAGTAATGTAATATACACGAAAAAGCGGGGAGACAAGTTCCATGCACATTGTTGTCATAGTGACAGCGAGAGATGATTAGCCTGAAGAAACAACAGCACATGAACATGTTCAAAAGTTCAGTGTATTAACCATTAACCATTCTAACCGGACTTTCTACTTTCATCAAGAATAACGGATTCGTTTACATGTTTTAAGGTTGTTCCAAGAAATATAATCATTTCATCTCTATTCATTTCTGCCTGCTTAATTTTGGTTATAAGGGCATAAAACGTATAAAACAATTCAGTGCCCTCACGATTTCAACTACTCCAGCAGGAACATTCTTTTTCAGACAATTCTTCTGTCCTAATTCAAATGCTTGCAAGGAAAGAGTATTGCACAGATCGAAAGGGTAAAAAAGGCAGCTTATTCATGTGATTAAGTTGAAAGGAAACGAAAAACAGCAGAGGGGAACATAACAGAAAGCAATTACACTCGGAACCTTATCTCATCAAAGACGGTGGACTCAAACATGGGAAAAACCAACTTGGCATTCTTCATAAAACGTAGGGATGACCTGTTGGAAGCCGGAGAGTAAATGCCAAGGGATTACAAACTAGCAATCCTTGGGATACCACTATACTAATCCTTTGCCGATAGTCCACGAGGTGACACTGCAACCAAACACTACTAATCCTTGGGATACCACTATACCCGGAGTGTTGTGATGGACACAAATTACATGCTTAGAGTGTCCATTACAATGCGGAAACTCAGTTGGTTCCTAGGTGGTAGATTGTGGGCAGTGACACGAGATCGAGCCTGGCAATTGCAGTGTGGAAGATACGTATACCCAATGTGGTGGGCTCCACTATCGTGTCAGGCTAGGGCAAGGGAGTTTTGTCTTTTGTGGGCAAAAATATCTATTACAATAATTAAAAGAGTATCAAAATCCACAGAATAATTACAGAACTGCTTTCCATGCCCAAATTGGTTGCCATTAAAACCAACCTGAAACTATAAAACATCATTAATTAGCTGTTACCAAGATTCATGTTCCTACCTTCCCCCTTCCATTTTTTTCTCCCTAGCTCTATCAAGATCTAACAGCCAAATTTCTTTGAGTTTCATTAAAATCAAAGACATCAGCTCAAGTACATTCTTCCAGAATTAGAAAGTTGGAACCTTTTCTACTGTAAAATGCAGGAAAACATTTAGTTCTCATAAACAGCACTGTATTAGGAACTCATTAAATTTCTTTTAATCTAAGTTACACAGAGAACCCTTCAAGGCAATATTTAAGAAAAATGGCACCTTTTGGACTCCACAACCAAAACCCATACCCAAAAATTATCAGAATATATATATATATATATATATATATATATATATATATATATATATATATATATATATATATATATATATATTACAAAAAATAGTGATGGATCTCAGCACTCTACTATGTTTATTCTGAGTGGATAAGTTGATTAACCACTGAGTTCTTTGATTATTGGTTGTCATATTCAAACTTAAAATCAGTTGATTGATAAGTAACAGTACCACGTCTCGAATTGAACGGCGGCCAACAAATAGAATTATAAAAAAGAAGATAAAATATAAAATGATGAAATGAAATAATATGAAACCTGTAAAGAGTGATGAAGTCGAAGGAGTGTGAATAAGCATGGTGTCGGGGAAGCAGAGAAAGACGAAGAAGAAGAAGAAGAAAACGGAAAAATATCAGTAAATGCCTTTTCTACTAATTTGGACTGTTGTACCATTTTCTGTTTTAAATATTCTTTTTCTTCTTTAATTTGGGTATTAATTATTCTTCGTTTTGGCGTAGAGAAGGAGACAGAAAGTAGTAACGGTGGGTGCATGAACCTTACTTACATCGACGCCATGGTTTCTTCACTCGCACTATAACTGCATACTAACCTTGCTTACGTGTAGCTTCGGCAGAGCGGGAACCCACGTGGATCAACCCAATGTTCTTCATGCAGGCCTGCTTTTCACCTAAAAATATTGTTGTTTTTACTAAATTTTTTAATTTTTTAATAGTACCATTTTTAATGACCTATTTAAGTAAAATAAAATATACTATAAAATTATTAATTATTAGGAGATTGGTGGGAGATTTTATGTATAACATTGGTATAAATGTGTGGGCGATGGAAGCTGAAATCTTAAAGATACTTAGAACAACTTCATTTGACATGCAGAAAAATTTATAATAGCTACTCAAAAATGTATTCTGGGTGAAGATTGTTTTATAACTTTAATCAGTAAAGGACTGCAAAGAGATCGTTTTGGGTGAAGACTGTTTTGTAAGCTAGATTGTTTTGTAACCTTAATCGGTAAAGGATTGCAAAAAGATAAATCAGTCTGGGTAAAGATTGTTTTGTAACCCTAATCAGTAAAGGACTGCAAAGAATAAACCAGTCTATCTATTATCCAAACACCTTATAACTCTTAACCGACAAAAGAAATAAACTAGCTTAGTCGTTACCTTAATGTGTGCTTAGAATGAAACCTGTCATGTGACTCTAACCGACAAAGAACTATAAGAAAGTAAATTAAGTATAGTTTATTTATAATTAACAAATTCAAACTAAAAAGGCTAATAAACACTCCTATAAAGAATCAAACTTGAACATATTCAATATGTTGTGATTCCGGTTGATCCATCTACCAACTTAGCTTCTATGTTGTCTTGGTGTACAGTGTACAGTGTACTGTCCCTCTTCTCTTGATAAAATAATAATAATAATAATATTGTGCTAGTTCATGTGATTTTGTAATAAATACTACGGAGTATAACTTTTTCGTATAACACACACTAAACATTAAACATCTCAGTAGAATCGTTGATGCATCTTTTAAACAGTAGAAAGAGAATCTCCGGCAGCCTGAACCAAGATTCCAAGAAGGCAAGAACAATCATACCATTATAGCCACAAAAAACGACGGCAAGAAGTAGGCATACGCGCATGGGAATATTGTTGTTGAACTATATAGTCAGACAAGAGAACAGAAAACCGGACAATACACAAAAATTCATGTGGAAATTCATGTGCATTTTAGAGACATGAGGCTTAGAGGAGAGAAACGAACGCTGCTGGATCCGTATAGGGATGGCTTGGTGCATCATCAACATTGGCACAACTATAATCCACCAAGATATCGGTTATTGCCAAAGGATCCCTTCCCACATCGCCATCCACAACAGTAATATTAGTTTCCTCGGATGTGGCACAGATTCCTGCAGTGTCGCCTAGGAGGACTTCCAGAGGCAACTTAGTACCTGATGAGTCGTCTTGTAATCCAAAATTCACCTCCAAAATAGGAATCTCGAAATCCAGAGAAGGCACTGAATAGCGGCATCCTCCCAAGATGTCTGTGCTAGACCGCTCTGAGGCATCATCTTCAGCAGCTTCACCAGCACTTCCCAGAGACTCGGGATTAGTCTCTATCTCGTCTCTTAAGGGGCGTTTTGTACAGTTATTTTCTGGGAACAAGATACTCGGAGGATATTTTGAAGTTGTTACATTGATGATGGCATGATCGATGGGATTCGCCAAGTCATTGGCTTCATTACTTTCATATGCGCAGCTCTCGTCTTTGAAATCAACCACTTCAGATGCTTTGGTTTGCTCGTCGTTTAACTTTTGCCCTGCATCTTGTTCAATTGTAATGTCACTGGAAATTGAAACAGAATTGCTCTTATTTTGAGTGCTTGGTGGAGGTGAATGCACATCGTCTAAATCCTCCAAAGTGAACTCAGGAGCTGTAACTGTAAGAATCCGCCTATATTTTGAAAGCATGCCCTCATTCTTTTCATCTCTAGGAACTGCCCCACTCGGAGCACATTCCAAGGGATCACCATCCTTCTCATGTATCTCACCGCTATGTTCAGAAGCAGTAACTTCAAAATTTTGAGTACATTCCGCAGGAGAGGTAACAGATGTCGATAAGAATCGAGAAAGTGCTGCAGCTAAAGCATTATCAATTGACGAAGCTAGATTTCTCTTTACTTCAGGAGAATTCTTTGAAGGTTCCAACACATGGTTGTCTTCCTCTTCCTCTCCACACGAGAACTCAGGGGCGGTAATCACACGACTTGGATGCATACGTGGAGAACTTACGGAAATTGATGAATTATCAATTTGGCTGGCCAATTTATCATCCGGAAAATCCATTTTTAACTCTGATGCCAAATTAGAAGGATGATCATTTCCATCATTGTAGAGAGAGCCAACATTAGAATCAGTGCATGAAAAAGAAGGAGCCGAAATTCTATTGCATGAAGGCATTCCAGTATATTGAGAGTTCTTAGCAAGAATTTCTAATTGCTCCTCCACTCTCTGAAGCCTCACTTCCATGCTGTTTATTGGCTTAAGCATGCTTTCTTCAAATCGTAAACAGATATCTTCAATCCTGTTCACTCGGTCAACAAGTTGTACTAGAACTCTCTCTATATCTGGCATATTATTTTTCTCATCAGCAGTCAATTGTTTTGGAGATTGAGGTTTTAGCCCATTGCCTACAACTTGTTGCTCTTTATTAAGGTCCATGGTGGGAAGCAAAGATTGAACAGGTTCAGATGTAAGCTGATCATCAGCATGCAAACTCACATGTTGCTCATCAACTGTCGATCTCTGTTCACAGTGAAGTCCATTCATATCATCAGTCATATTGTGCCCCCGTGCTGTAGGACCCACATCATCATCCTTTCCCTGTCTATCAGAAGAATATTTGCCATTTGTTCGGTTGGCCCCTGATTTAGATAATTGCAGAAGAGTAGGAACAAGCATTGCCATTAAGGAACTTTGGGCTGAGCTTTCCACTGGAATAGAGTGATTTTCTGAATCAGTAGACACAAATGGATCACCAAAGATGTAAACCTCATCTATATATAAACAGTCTTTGCTTTGAAGAGATAACAAACGGATCGTAAGTGAAGCACAAGGTTCAGCATCACTAATTTGGGCTGTAGCCTCATAAAGCTCCTGTAGAAAAACAATTAACAAATTACTACAAAGGAAAACATCTTTTAATATTTTGGCCTTTTTTGCAATTAATTGATCAAGCCGCATGAAGTAGGGCCAATGACATTAAAGAAAAACTCAAAACAGAATGCACCAGAGAAATGAGGATCCAATGATCAATTCAATTCGGTAACAATTGCAAATAGCCAGATACAAAGGAAAAGCTCCATTTATCGAAACAAGATCATATTACCCAGTGGAAAATGTTGAAAAACAATTTTTCTTTTTTCCAAATATTTAGTGAGAATAGTGTTTTATTCCTGTCTCTTTTTTTTTTTCAATTAGAGAACATGGTAAAGCCATGTCTTTTATACTTCTACTAAGGAGTCACATCTGAAATGAGGAGAGCCAAATGAGACAAGAAACGTAAAACTCGTGTGCAGTGGCAATGACAGCAAAATAAGATTAAAAACAAGAGACCATAACCAGTTTGAATGAAAGGAGTATACATTAATATCCATACCTGGACACTTCTGCCACCTTCCTTAGCAGCCTGATTTACCAAACAATTGATTCCATTCTCAACAACAGGTAAATCAGAAACTTTGACATCTACCCAATCCTCTTCACTGTTGGAACCAGTTTTTCCTCCTTTAATTACCTTCCGATGTTGCTTGGAAGCATCTTCAATCCCAGCCAGGAGAATTTCACCTTCTCTTTCAGCCACACTGCAGCGAACTGTACAAAGATACTGATTCTCACCATGTAGCGAAGACGCATAGTATATCTCATACACACGTGCAGTGCTCCGAACATAAACCTGCTGGATTTCATGCCTTTGAGCAAAGCATACTGCAGGGAAAGGAAAACTAAGTTATAATTGGGAACAAAAATGATTAAGTTAATTAACTTGGGGAGGGTGGAATTTCTTACAACCTTAGACAAGAGTTGATAAAACAAAATTTCTTTTTGGACATATCATGAGAAAAGTCTGGCACAATATAATTCAAATAAGGTAGTAGGAGACAACAATGAAAAAAGACTATTTTCATTCACCATAGAGGCTCTCAACCAAAAGAAATGAACTGTAATCAATGATAACTACTAAATCTAAATTTAGCAGAAAAACAAATTCTTACTCCCCTATGAGATCACACAATTTAGCCTCATTCATAATATACCTTCGATCTTAGCAGAAAAACATTTTAACCTCCATCTCCTGTATGATAATCACACTGGACCATATAAATACTTGGAAAACCACAAGCATGGAATTCGTTCCAGGTAAATAATCATTATTGAATGCTCTAAAGTCATATCCTCAGTTCAAGATTTGCAATCATGATTTCTCAATATTCACAAAACAAAGGCATAAAGAATTACACTGAACGTCACAAGCTCACCTAGTTACCTAGTAGCTTCAATCAGTGAATCAACTATAAATACCATCACGAAATTTACCAGCAAGCAGATCAACACTTGAGTTACAATTATAAGCATACATGAACAGCGACGTTTCTTTCACTAACTAGAACAATAATTTGTGGAAAAAAAATAATAATAATAACACTTCAAGTTGAAAGTATAAATTTAATCAATTGAACGAAATCCTTATCCAAATGCTAATCGAAATCGAAGCTTTTAGCGAAAAACAAAGTCACAAATTCACTTCCTCTGATCAGTAATGACAAGAAAAACATGACGCTAACTTACTTTTGATTTCACAAGGACCAGAATCAAGTGAGGGGGGCTTAACGATAACAGGCGATTTCGGAATAGAATCAGGGTCAATTGGCGAATCAGAGGACTCAAATGTGACGGCGCTTTCCAGAGAGCCGTGAGCAATTTGCCAGTTCGTCACCGCGTCGGAGCTCGGCGAACTTTCGCCACTGTAACAGTAGCTATTGCCGTGATCATCGCCGTCGGTCGGACTAATCGGAACCATCACCATATTGCGTTAATGTTCATGCGTTTTCTGCAAGCCAAATATATATATTATACGCGATTTATAGGTATTGATAATGTTTTTGGAATATATAACTAAATATCTTGTGCTTTCCTAAAAAAAAAATAGCTTATGCTTAGTTGGTACTTTTGTCCTTCTGATCGAGAGAGATCATATAATCGAACCCACAATATTACATTGTAATAATAAATTAATAGGGTTTCAATTAGTCTTTATTTTTATTATTACTACATTGTAATATGATTATAATCGTTCTTTATTTTTATTTTCAAACACAAGTGACTAATTTATTAAATCAAAATCATTACTCCTTATTTTTATTTTCAAGTACAAACAAACTACTTATTAAATCAAGATTCAAAATAAGTAACTCAAATAGTTTCTGTGTGATAGATTATCGACAAAGATACATGATCAAGTAATTTTTATTTGCATGTGTAAAATTACACGTGATGATAACAAATTAACTCGTCAAAATTAATAAGTAAATTTTGTTCTAGGCTATGGGTATAGGCCTTTTGGTTACAATTATTTAATTACAGAGTGAGAAATATGGTACTCCTATTATAAATAAAGTGTGTCTATACTCTTTGAAGTAATGTCAGTTAGTTTCATCTCTAGATCAGTGAATAAGTTTGCTTGTGGTCTAGCTAGGGGTGTTCGTTCTCAAACTGGTCTCTCTATATGGTTTTCTTCTATTCCTACTTGTCTTGAACATTTGATTTAATAAAAATTTAGTTTTTCCTTTCAAAAAAAAAAAAGAAAAAAAAAAAAAAAAGAAAAAAAAAGGTGTATCTATACTAGTGAACATATCTTGTTTCAAGTGTTTTTTCTTTGTTTATGGTGAGTACTTTTAATTATTGTGTCATAACATGAAAGATGTCTTGTAAGTGATGAAAATAATTAATTAAAATATAAGATAAAAATACTTGGCCGATGCTTGTGGTGTATGATAAATTATTGAAAAGCCTATAATATTTCGTTTAGATTCAATTAATTATGAAAATTCCAAATATTGCCCACCTTTAACTTCTTTGGAATTCTGTTTGATAATATAAATTGTATTTTGTTAGGAAAATAATTTTAAAAAGAAAGGATACAAGGAAAATTTTCAAAAGATTCCAAATATTGCCCACTTTAACTTCTTTGGAATTTTTTTAATAATATAAATTTTATTTTGTTAGGGAAATAATTTTTTTTTTTAAAAAGGAATTTTTTTTAATAATATAAATTGTATTTTGTTAGGGAAATAATAATAAAAAAGAATACAAGGAAAATTTTTAAAGAGTAGGTAACTTAGTTTGAGAATAAATAGCCAATTAGCCAGCCACCAGCCCACCACCCCTTCAAAACATAAATTCCTAAAACGTTTCCGTTGCCGGGAATCGAACCCGGGTCTCCTGAGTGAAAGCCAGATATCCTAACCGCTGGACGACAACGGATTGCTGGTTACTATTATATAGTTTTAAATAAAACCCTTTACATCCCATTCAAAAAAATTCATGAGTTGAACCAAACATACCAATAATAAAGTAACCTGCACAGATAACTCAATTGATACTTGTGTGTTAAATTGTAAGCAGAGATGTAGAATTAAGACCAGCTTGATCCTTCTACCTAAGAGAATCCCGCCAAGCTAGAGTGTGAAGGCCCTTTGAACAGAAATTTTGCTTTTAGTGGGCAAAATAATGAAGTGGAATAGGCTGTTTGGCTGTGTGGTGGTGAATAAAGAATAAGAAGAATAAAGGAGTTATTGCAAAGAACTATAGCTAAAATGAAGAAAAGCATTAGCATTCTAAGAATGAAAGCATTTAATCTCAACAACAAAACTTTTCACCTAGGAGAAACACAGCTCTAATTAAAGAAAAGAAAAGAAAAAGACTAGCTTAACTAAATGGGGAAACAATATGTATTTTCCTGTTAGAAGAAAGTAGCTCCAACAATCTCAAATCTTTCACACTTCTTTATTAGAATCATAAATTCTCAACATCACCAAAAATTAGCTAGAGATAAGGAGCAAAATTCCCCCCAGCATATCACTCTCTTGATCACTGTAGGAGCTTGTGTGGTGGCATCTGCATGCATCATTGTCAAAGAAACTTTCTTGGTCAGGCTCTCACGAAGCGAAAAACTATCATCTGAATCGGCAAATCCTTATCCCAGACATGTGCAAAATCGAACAATTGGTTGCTATTGTATCAACTATGCTGTTCTATTTGCTGTTGCCTTTTTCCTGACTACTCTTTTTCTCCTAGCTTTGGGTGGCACTGCTTCGCCCTCAGTGACTGAGCCGCCTTGGCCCTGTTTGATCCCAAGAAGTCCAAGCCCAGATACTATGGCGTTCTTGGATATAAACCATTTCGAAGAAGTCTGATCAATACCCTCGGATGGTCTATTGTAAGCTGCTTTCAGGAGATCGTCTGCATGGGCCAGTGGATCTGGCTCCACCCCGAGCCAAGCCAGCCTTGATGTCTCTCCAACGTGAACATTCATTACCCTGAATGCAATTAATCAAATGTTCATGATTATCCAATTTGACAAAGAGAATCCAACTATGGTGATTAGTAGTTGAACAAAATGATATCTAGGAAAACAACCAGCATAAATTAAGATAAGGTATTAAAAATAAATAAAATCAAGACTGAAAAGGTGGGGACAACCAAAAGAAGAAAAACAAAAAATCGGGGGCACCTCCAACCAAGTTGGTCAGAATGTTGACTTGGTAACTACAAGGTTACAAGTTCAACACCCAGAGGGAGCAACCTAATGACCTTTTTGGTTTGAGCAGGTTAGCTATGGGCAACCTAGGCTGGTTTACCTCATGATCCTTTGCCGACTAGGGTCACAAGGCAGGGTTTACCTAGGGCAAACCCTCAGATTACCCTCGCCACTCAAAAATCATCTTTAATGGCATGTATCAGAGTTGATAAAATCCATAAACATATACCTGAGGGCGGTGCTAAAGCAGAGAGCAACTCCAATAACATCAAAGTAGTTCATCATTGTTTGGTCAAAGCCACACAACAACTGATAACGCAGATTTGCATATAGGCCAAGGAATGCTCCATAACCAAGTGCGTTATTGCTCACTGATGGAATACTCACAGACAACCTACCAAAAGCAATCGAAAATATTTACACAGAAGAAAAGTTGTCGGGGAGGCACAATACTATTTCAATGAGAAGGATGGCAAACATTAACACAGGAAAATATTGACACAAGATGTGCATACCTTCCCTCTTTTTTACTGGCCAAAAAATTTGATATACCACCTTGAGCAGCTCCCATGGTTAATCCAACCATACACAACTCAGCAGCCTTGTAGAAGAATGATTGAAATCTCTTCTGCATATCAAATTCTCTTAGCGGATAGCTCTTTTCAAATATATTATTTGGGAGCTTTTGCAATGTATTTTGCAGATCAAAGCGGAAAGTGTTTCCATATGAACGACAAGGAGCAAGAGACCACAGCACAATAGCATTACAGGCCGTTACTGTGAGCACATTAACTAGGGCAAGATCCCACTCTTGCTTTATCCTACATTATGATATGATAAAAGCAACGTAAGTTCATCAGGTTAATAGTATTCAAAATATTTATTAGGTCTCATTTCCTTTTTAAAAAATATAAATCAAACCAATACCTCTCCTTGCGATTTTTAACCTCCAACAAAACTGAGCATCCAATTGTAGCTGCTTGCTCAAGAAGAAACTTGTACAAAAATGCTGGATCTGCAATCATCCTGTACAATTAAAAAGGAAATTTCAAGATGAATCAGGAATCTGCCAAAATATCACTGAATATTGAAGGAACATTAGATTATTAGCTATTGATAGTTAAAGGAAATAGAACTACACATAACAAGGAAAAATTATATGAAACTTCTTTAGCTGCCTTTTTTCACATTTTCTTTCTTAAAAAATATGAACTAGGAAAGTGGCACCAGAAATTCTGAATTAAATGTAAATTTCATTATTTCATGATATCACTATTTCATGACACATGAGATTTTTTTACTCTTTTTAGCAGCTCTATTTGAATGCGTAATACCAGACCCCAGATTCAAACTCTTGGTGCTTAAAATAATTTTAAGTATAATATAATTTTCAAGATCAACTTCCGTTAAAAACCAAAAGCTTTGGAAGTTCTTTAAAAATTTGGGTTACTGATAAGCTCAGTGTTGCTTTTAGTGAAGGTAGCCTCTGCCCAACCCCAAGCCAATACAGTGGGAAATGGACAAAGATTCTGCACAAATTTGCAAAATAAAGCGGGCACCTTAATTACCTGCCAATAAACCCCCTCGAAAGTCCTTGAGGAATCGACCGAGAAATGAACCTAGCTGTTGTAGGTCTGGCATTTATAGCCAAAAATTTCACCATTTGTGCAGAGCTGACCAGACCCTGGATGCAAACACTGTTCAGAATTCTGCCAATAGATATCATTAAACTAGAGAAAACAATGAGACAATTTACCATCTCATATGCTTGCCTTAATCCAGCTGGTAAGTCCATCATTGTCTTCTGCCACTCATTCAAGACCGCATCAACAAATTTCCGATCAAAAAGCTGGAAAACATTAGAAAGTTATTACTATCATAGTATTACTCCATATCCAATTACCTGAAGTTAGTAGAAATATACAATAAGGCATGATCAACATAAATTCTTGCAACACGAGTTACCTCTTGAAGAATCATTCGCCTTCTGAACAATCCACCCTCATCTCCTTCATCGTCATCATCAAAGTCATCCATGTAATCGTCATCATCACCATCATCACCTCCATCACCACCACCGTGAAAAATGCTTTTCCCAATATCTCCACCTCCACCTCCAGTTGAAAGCTATCATTTTGTCAAATTTAAGTTAAACTATTTAGCAAAAGAGATGTTGGATATTCCCCACAATAGCATTGAGAATATATAAATAGAAAAACTTTTTGGCAGTATGGGAGGGTGGAATTTCTTAAGAATAATCGGGTAAAGTTTTTCTTTCAATACACAAGTTGATTTGACTTTGACCTACATTTTTTCTACTGCCTTTGTCTGGAAAATTTTATTTATTTGAGGTTGAGCCATGGAGGTTTCACTAACTTCATGAAAAGATAGAAATTTCTATGACCTCAATTAAAATCACAGAATCATGGGAATATAGTATTCCACTTGCAATGCCATTGTTACCCTGGCAGCTTTTATCTTAAGAACAGTTTTTTTTTTCAAGATAAACAGGACAGGGCGATGTGTGAAACTAAAACTAGTAATGTATTCCTGGCAGAGTTTCAAATACAATAACCTACTTCCTCACTACTATCCACAAATAACCCAAATTTCTACAACTTCATTGCCATCTCATTCTTTTCTTATCAAGTTATTTCCATGGCAGGAATTGCTCTCTTTGAGATAACAAAGCTACTGCTTTTCTATCAAATTCTATGAAAAGAAACACAGCTCAACAAGTAAGAACTGCAGCATAAATTTATAAAAATAAAAATAAGAAACGAACCTCAGGGCTAGACTTAGTTTGTTTCTGGGTCATATCGAGCTTGGATTTCTCCAAAGTAACGGCACCGAGCGATCCATACTTCCCTCCCTTCATAACTGGCGCGAACATTACAGGAGACCCCGGCGAAGAAGTTGAGGACGGACAATCCGCCGGCGGCGAAGCCTGAAAGCAGCGCTCCAAGGCTGAAACGGCATCTCCGTCCACCACAGATGACGACGAGGCCCTAATACACGACTTCCTCATCTTCCCGGCCACTGCCTGCGGCAGCGGCAGGCGGTGAAGGGCGCCGGCAGGGTGCAATAACTGCTTCGGTGATGAGACCACTTTGGAAGTGGGGATTGTTGAGGTGTAGATAGGCATGAGTTGAGCCGTTTGGAACACCGTGTGAGACATTTTCTGGGAATTTACTGCTTCGAATTATCCAGTTTGGATAGATTGGCGGATTCTCCTGCGAAGGATTAGCGTTTTCTCTTCTATGGCTTTCCTTGCTTTCACTCTCTATACTGGAGAGAGTGGGGAGAGAGAACCGAGGGTGAGGGAGGCGTTGAGGTTTTGAAGATGGGGACGAAAGAACCCAATCCGAAGTACGAGTCGAATCGCTGGGTAGGAGGACGAGTTGACTCGGATGCATATTAGTCTCACCTAACTCGTGGTGGTCATAAGCCAAGGCCCCAGGGCCACGCGCGCCCGTTATTGGTGAAGTCACTAAGTTGGTCTTGCAATTTTTTTCCACGTGGAAAAATATGATGTTTTCTTATGTAATTAATAAACATTTAAAAAGTAAAATAGAGTTAATAATTTTTTTTTAAAAAAAATGTTAAATAGACCAGCAAACTTTACCATTTTAAAAGTTTAATTATACCATCAACAATTTATTTTGATGCAATGAAACTTAAAATTGATTAATAACCTCTTATCACAGATCATTAGAGTTCCGACAATCCATTTCAGGCAAAAAAGTACATTAGAGTTCCGACAATCCATTTCAGGCAAAAAATACAACGGACCGGTCACTTTTTTACCTGAAATTTCTCCCTCGTATTGGCAGAAAACAGTGTTACAAAATCTATTCATGTTTGCCAAAGCAATTGACACATGGAATTATAGTATTAATTGATCAGCCGAAAACAGTATTACAAAATCTCTTAAACTACATCATCAATAATAAAAGCCATATTTCATGGGAAGAAATGAAAAGCTCAAATCCTCCCCTAAGATATCCAAGCATAATAGGAATCAATCTAAAATGTCAATGCTCTGATCATAACACTTTGTAGAAAATGCAGGTAACAGCAACAAATATCAGTTATCAAAATTGATTTACACTGGAATGTTGCAAAGATGATTTCCCAAATGAAGACTTAACCCACAAACTGAACCAATTCAAGCGGTAATCTTTTCCGGTTTTAAAGTTCATCCTCCATCCTCAGGTACTCCCCAATATCAGATTGGTGCAACACCACATTCCCATTAGGATCCAGCTTCCTACAATCTTGTGTACTCTTAGCAGCAACGCCGAATCCCAGTGGCACATCGGACATCGAGAACACCACAACCCCATCATGCTCGTTGACATTCTCTGTTATCCTACCGACACCACCTTTCAACACATTGTTTCCGTATAGGAAGCTCATCTCAGACGTGGGTTTTAGCCAAACTTTGTGTTTTGCATGTGCAGCTATCAAATTCAGCGACTGGATTGTTAGGTGAAACTTGCCTCCTTTAGTGAATTTCCCTATTTGGGTCCCCAGCGAGATCAGATTATCTCGTTTTACGTTAGTGGCTCTCTTCACGAGGGACTCCGACACATAGTAGACTCGATTCCTTTGGAGACGGAAACAGTACCGCCCTGGAGCTGGGTCGGGACCTTCATGAGATGGGCTATCCACAATGTTCTTCAGATTGTTTCCCACAAATTTAAAGAGCTTTTCAAAAACTTGGGTGGTCTCACTCTCATCCAATGGCCTCATATTGGATTCCTTCTATTTCCTGTTTAACATTCACTCTTAAACCTTAACTTGAATTTAAAACAAGAAATCCTATTTAGAATTACTGATAGTAGATCACAGATACAAGGATAGGCTACAAATCTATATAAACACAGAAACTGAGCTGTCAAAGTGGGCTGGCGGAATGGGCTAAAATGCCCGTCAAAATATGGGCCTAGAGGGCAGGGCCAGCCCGCCTTAGACCCGTGGGGTTAGGCGGGGCTGCCAAACCAAATAACCAATAGTTATGCTGTGCAACCGTGTGCACCACATGGTGCACACGGTTGCAAAACGATGTCGTTTTGACTAAAAACGCGCGTCCCATTTTATATATATATAAATAAAAAAAAAATAAAAAAAAATCAGTTTCGATTCACCTCAACAGCATTATTATGGATATATAGTTATGAATTATTGTGGATATATAATTATGAATTTGTGGATATATAGTTATGAATTTATGGATATTTAGTTCATTCATTGTGGATGTTTAGTTCATTCAGTGTGGATATTTAGTTCATTCATTGTGGATTTTGTGTTATTCATTCAATGTGGATATATAGTTATGAATTTGTGGATATATAGTTATGAACTTGTGGATATATAATTCAAATTATGCAAAAAAAATGCTATTGCCGGGAATCGAACCTGAATTTTTTTTAAGTAGAACGCGCATTTTTAATCAAAACGACGTCGTTTTTGCAACCTTGTGCACCATACATGGTGCACACGGTTGCATTGCATAATTTGCGCTGCCAAACTTAACTTTGTGTGTCTGTGTGTGTTTTTTTGGTAAACAAAAAGAGACAATTTAATCACAAAATTGAATACTGAAATTTGAGAATGGAGTACTGAGATTTTACAATGAAACAAAGTCAACAATTAAATAAAATTAATAAAAATTACATATATTAATTTTTCTTATCTGGCTGTGAAATAAAATTAATTAAAGTACTGAAACATATATTTACCTGGCTGTGGACGGAGTGCGACGGAGATGCTCGACGCACCGGAGTGCGACGTCGTTTCTGGCTGCAACACACCGGAGTGGCTCACGGACTGCAGTTCTGCGTCGTTTCTGCGGTTCTGCCGGTGAAGGAAGGAAGAGAGGAAGGCACGAAGCTGGGAAGGTGATTAAGTAATTATCTCACAATCCGCAATGACTCATCAACTTTAAAGAGCATTGAAAAATTCATAAAACCAAAAAACCACATTAATCCATTTTTCAGCTATAACAAAAAGTAAAGAAGGAAAACAATCCACTAAACATCACATTTTTCATCAATTCTAGCATATTGAACAACAATAAAGTACTTCATAAAAATACTCACATAGCCTAGTTTATTCCATGAATACCGAGTGCGAAGATGGAGGCATACCTGGGCAGAAGCTTTGTCGGAATTCAAGTATCCAGGGTTTTGTTCAGACTAGGGTTTTAGTCAGCGATTTGGGATGTTACATATGGGCCTGAGCCCCGAGACATAGCCCATGAAAGCCCATTTTCCAAGCTAAGTGCGTAATCGAGTCAAACCGAACTCAAATAGTCAAAGTTTTAAGCTTATTTTGATTTTTTTTTTATATAGTTAAAATCTACTTAACCAAACTCTACATTTTTCATTCCAAAAAAAAAAAAAAAAAAAAAACCTCACATTTTTAACTCATATCAATTCTATAACTCCAACTATTCAAACTCGATTTAACTAAAATTGATTTCAACTAAACATAATTTTAAGAGTCATAGCATTCAAAATTTTTTATTTTTTAATTTTTTGAAATCATGAAACAATTAGAATAAATTACTATAAAAGATATGAAACAAGTCAGGAAATGACAAAGTCGAGAATTAGTCTACTGATAGACTCTAGCAGCTAAAGTATGAACAATCAAATTAAATTGTCTAGTAACTAAACGGAACAAGCAAACTAAAAACGAAGACATAAGATCCAAGCAATCATCAATTACAACTCCAACATGAGATCTAGGCATGATTGGAGAAAAAGTAATATATAGCGATGCAGAACCGAGCAATCAGTGTGTAAGACTACAATAGCAATTTCACAATCTTTTAACTACAATAGGGCCTATTTGCAAGTAAGGGATTCCGCCATGAGAACATTGGAGCAAAATGACAGTCGTCCGTTTGTGGTTGCAATAAAACCACCTTCGCCCCAGATCAGAACTGCACAATAAGTTGTCGATCCTTCCGTCGAAGAGAATCTCACATTGAAATAACAATGTGGCGCGCCACTCGTTCTGATGTCTGTTGATGTGGTGTTGAGGGGGGAGGGGTCGACACTGGGACAGTAGGACCAGCGGCAGATTCTCATGCGTTGACAGTAGCAAGAGCCTTCTCCAAACACCATTCGGCCGTTGCATACATGCATCCCACGCCGCATTGTTCCGAGCCTTCCAAATGTAATAGAAAAACATCAAAAACGTTCACAAGGATATCCATGTTAACACACTCATAGCATTTTGAAACCAAGCAGAAAAAAGAATTCCCAACCACACAATAAGTGAAGAGATGAGGCTCGTACCAAACAAATTATATAAATTCACATTCAATAAAAGAGTGATCAAATTTGATAAATTTTGAATAATTAATATACTAAATGAACAATTTTAAAAATTTTACATTACAATTAACAAGATCTCAATAATCACAAGACTAAAATTGAAATTAACTCTTCCTTAAATTAATAAAACTTGATAAATAAGAGAATAGTTTAGCTCGTTTACGCCCGGCAGCTAAACCATTTGAATGTTCCAATCTTACCCTCTTCCTAAGGGAGCCTTTGACATTAAAGCTGATGTGAAGTTGATATCATTGGTGGAAAACCAGGAGACCCGAAGGATCAAATTGCAGGGGAATGGTGGGTTCAGCAGCCGTGCCGTCCAATCCCAAGTTTCCCGCCCCAATTCCCCGTCGACTGGACGTCACCACCGCCCACCTCATCACCAACGCCGCCGCGCTCCGTCTTGGCAACTCCCTCTGTCGCCGTCTTCGTCTCTCGTGCCTGCTACGCTCCTCCTTCAAGGTACAAATGTATCCAAAGATGCTCCCTTGTAACTTAATTAGGTTAAATTCGTGCAAGTCTTTAAAAAAATGCACATTTTTATTCAATTTCCACATGTTCCTATCATTTTTAGCTTATAATTGGCAGCTCCTAGTCAAAAGAGCTGAATTGATCATATTGGTTAGATATTCAGCATAAAATCTATGGTTCTTGTAACTTAGTTGGGTTAAATTCATGCAAGTCTTGAAAAAAAATGCACATTTTTATTCAACTTCCAACTGTTTCTACCGTGTTTTAGCTTATAATTTGCAGCTCATAGTCAAAAGAGCTGAATTGATCATATTGAGTAGATATTAAGCATGAAATCTATGATTTTGTTTTTGAGTGACAAGGAAACCTGCAGCCACTACCCAAGGGTCTCTGCACGGGATAAACCCGCCTTATGACCCTAAGCAAAGAAATCTATGGTTTTTGTAACTTAATTGGGTAAAATTCATGCAAGTCTTGAAACAATTGCACATTTTTATTCAACTTCTACCTATTTCTACCATTTTTTAGCTAGTGATTTGTAGCTCCTAGTCAAATGAGCTGAATCGATCATATTGAGTAAGATATTCAGCATGAAAAGTATGGTTGTTGTACAGAATATTTGTCATCATGCTGGTGCTCCCACGTTTACGGCCCTTCAACTTGATGGGTTTGATCTTCTTGACTGGTCACGGGATGTGCTCTCTACTGCGTGTATGAGCTTTTCTTTTATCAGTGGAGGTGGAAGTAGAAAGGATTCCAAAGGGTTTGGAAAGTCATACTCAAATTCATCTAGGCATTTCTTATCTAACGACCGGAAATGGACCAATCTTCTCCTAGCCATTAACATATTGTAAGTATTGTGTTCTAAGTAGAATTTAATCTTTGGATCCTGCCATTTTTGTTTCCTTTAAAAAACGGAAGGTTCAAATTGAAAATGAAGAAACCTGTTAGCACCGTTGTTAAATTATATCATTCTTTAAGCAATTTACATGTAGCCCATGCTCCAACTATTGGGTAAAAAAACTATGACAAATGAAAAAGAAGATTCTAAATCAATGTTATTTAAATTGATATAAGTGATTGAGCATGGTCTGAATATTGATGGTGTTGTACATAGATAAGTAAACATTATCTATCTCAATTTATGTTCAGAGCTTATATTGCTCAAATTGGAACAAAAGGGCAACTATTATTTTTGGGAGCGAAGGTTAGCCTCTTATCATCTTTAGAAGTCTTTCAACAACATAAAAGTTTTGTCTTCTCTATCAAGGATGATTTTATCTCCGACCATCCATTAGTATATGAGTGCAGATCAATAGTCTAATAGACAAAGGACAAATATGGAGGTTGCTTACTTGTTCGTTCCTGCATGCAAATGTCGGGCATCTCCTGGTAGGAATTGAACAAATGGTTTGCTGAAGTTGCGACTGATTTCTCGTTTTAAGGGATTGAAACAAGTATCACTTCTTTCAGGTCAATTGTTATTCCTTAAATTCTGTTGGACCAGCCATTGAGAAAATCAGTGGTCCGAGAAGATATATTGCTGTTTACTTGATCTCCGCAATTGCAAGTAACATCCTCTTCCTGTGCATTGTTTTCCATTTGAAAAAAAAAATGCAAAAAACAAAAACAAAAATACCGCTTCTTGATGCTGATTTCATGTTTGAGATGAACCAGGTTCAACATTTAGTTACTGGCTCAGTAAAGCACCTGCAGTTGGTGCATCAGGAGCAATTTTCGGACTAGTAAGCTCTTAAACTTTTGAATTGCAGCTTTTTGTAGATTTTCTTTGATGATGAGTTGGTGTTGGTGGCATTATCAGGTTGGATCTTTTGCTGTGTTTGTCTTGAGGCATAGAGGCACAGTCAAGGGCACCGAGGGGGATCTTGTTTATATAGCACGCATAATTGCTCTAAATATGGTAGGCATTCAATTCCTTGAAATTTTTATTTATGTTGTTAAAGCACAAGGGCGTTCTAATACTCTTTCTTATTACAATGTCACCTGTACCTAATTATAACACATGCCTTTCATGCAGGCCATTGGGTTTTTATCAAAAGGCATCGATAACTGGGGACATGTAAGTTCACCTATAACTGTTGGCTGCCTTCTGATTATACTTTATGATGTCTTATCTATGAAATAGTTCACTTTTGTTGTCTAATCGTCAATACCTAGGTTACACTCGTTCATTAAAGTATTATCTGGCGTTCGCTTACATAGACATTACCCGTAAGCATTAAGCTTTAGTTTCTTTTATGCCTGGTTTGAGTGTAGTTATTTTGATTGGTATTTCAGCTAGGTGGTTTAGTAGGAGGAGCTGCAACATCATGGCTCGTTGGTCCTGCATGGAAGCTTGAATCTGTGAGCGAAGGCCGGAGAGTCTTTGCTGACAAGGCACCAATCTTCTCTCTCATTAAGAGCAGAAAGACCAAGCCATAATTCAAATGAACTGGTTTGGGGCTTTTCTGGGAAGCTTCTGAGATATAACATGAAAATTTGAAACTGCTACAATCTATGTTTACTTGGTATGTTGTTGTGTCCTGCTCAAATTTTCTGTTCAATGATCTGATTTGTGTATTACTAAGTATGAAAAATGAATATTTGTACAGACTGCTGTTCTGAAATAACATGTCAAAAGTTATTCCTGATATTTGGGACTGCAATCAGAAGCCTGAATTCCTATATTCTTTTGGTGTATGAACAGATACTACAATGTAATAGAGCCAGTAACTCTCAAAAAAAAAAAAAAAAAATATTCTTTTGGTGTAAAAATATATTGAGAATCTTTCTTTTGATCTAACATTTGATTAGAGCATCCTCTCACTAGTCACTAGAGGAGATTTTAGTTGACTTTTGCGGTGATTAAAAGAGAAAACATGGGAGAGAGAAGAGAAATGAGGAAAAAAAGTAACAGATCTAAATATCTAATGCACCCAACAAGATTCTGTAGCTTCTGATTATAAAGTCTTTATTTTTTGTCGGACAGTGAGTCCCACAAAAAGTCAAGTCTAGCGGGGAGAACCAAGTCTCTCTCTCTTCCACATGGATGTAAAAACTGTAAAAATCATCCAAAATTCCCCTATTGGGGATGCTGTTAAGAATATGTTGAGATTTCCCAACAGGCCAAACTTAAACTAAATTGAATTGAACTTCAAGCCTTTACTATTCGAGCTCAACTTGATTACACCCCTAATCATGCTTACAATTACATTTAGATGGTGATAAAGGGGGTTGCAAGACATGCACAGAAACCACTACAAATTCACAGGCAAAGGGTTGCAGACTTTTGAGGTTAATTACATAAAATCATTTCATGGTAGAAACTCCCTGTTAATATATCTGACTACTAAGTTAAGG